CGCAGAAGTTCATAATAGCCTCCTTGGTGAAGGACAGAGGAGAATCCCCTACGCCACCCAGGGGACCCACCCAACCATATTAGTGAACAATGGCAAGGCTCTGGATAGGGAAATACTGGTTTGCTTCCAAGGCTTGCTTCCTGGTTCCATCACACAGAAATTCCCATTTTTCTTCAGCCCCCTCACAGACACAAAGGCTCATGTCTACCTAGTTACCTCCACACACTCATTACATTTGTTCTTCCCAGAGGATGTAAACTTATGCCTCTCCTTGGCTGGTACGAAATAACTCTTAAGACTAACCAGCTTCTTTGTGACAACTGGTTAATCATTTGCAGAAAAAAAAAAAACCATAAGGTTATGTCCCTACTTTAGAGTAACCTCAAAATATATTACATGTGGGCTAAAAAGTTAACGTTGGAAAAAAATCAAACAATAAAAATTTTAAAGAAAATGAATGTGAATATTTATAAAACCTTGTGGTCAGGAATAGTTTAAAAATATATCACCAGGGGCAGGTATTGTGGTGCTACCACTAGCCATACCCACATCTGCTCTGCTTCTCATCCAGCTTCCTGTTAATGCACCTGGGAAGCAGCAGATGATGGGTCAAGTCCTTGGGGCTCTGCCACCCAGATTCAGATGGAGTTCCTGGATCCGGTAAGAAGATTACTCCATGAAAAACCAACAAAGGGGACTTGGCACCGTGGTGCAGGTTAAGCCGCTGCTTGCAACACTGGCATCCTGTATGGGAGTGCCAGTTACTGTGCTCTGGCTCCTCTGCTTCCAATCCAGCTTCCTGCTAATACACCTGGGAAGGTTGCAGAAGATGGCCCAAGTGCTTGGGTCACTGCCACCTGTGTCCGAGACCTAGATAAAGTTCTTGGCTCCTGGATCCAGCCTTGCCCAGACGTGGCTGTTGCAGCCATTTGGGGAAGGAACGAGCAAATGCAAGATGGATCTCTCTCTCTCTCTCTCTCTCTCTCTTTCTGCTTTTTAAATAAATAAATATATCTTAAAGATTTTTTTAAACGCTAAAGGATGGACAAACAATAAGAACACATTAGCCAATACATTTTAAAATACTCAACTTTCTTTCTAATCAAAGAAATGCAAATTGAAATAAGACACATTTTGTATATACTCAATTAACAGAAAAAAATTTAAATGCAACAAGGCAATGTGTATATACAGCATGAGCATTCCTTATCTGAAATGCTCAGGACCAGTAATGTTTTTGATTTCAAATGTTTCAAATTTCTGAATGCTTGTATAAACATAATAAGCTATCTTGGGAATGAGACCCAAGTTTAAACATGAAACTCACTCATATCTCATACAGGAGTACACCTAATACATACAGCCTGAAGATAATTTTACAGTTTTTTCAGTGTGCCTGCTTTTGACTACCACCTATCACACGAGGTTAGGTGCGGTACTCAAAAAGTTCCAGATTTTGTATTTTCAGATTAAGGATGCTGAACCTGAATAAAACTTTGTTCACACTTCAAGACAGCAATATTTCCTCTAGGATTTTCCTGTTTCTAGAATTATCCAAAGAGAATCATAGATATGTAAAAGAGCTTAGTTATAAGGATACTTCAAACAGTGTTATTTTAAGATTGCAATATTGGAAATTGGGGTAGATTAAATTATGGCATTTTTATCATGGTGATGTGATATTATTGAAATAACACTAGAATATTAACAATATAGAAAATGCTTGTAATACATTGTGAACTTTAAATAGCAGCTTATTAGTTTATGTATAACAAATCCCATTTTTGAATATGTCACAATTTTTATTAACATGTTTTCTATGAGCATATATTTCTTTCTAATAAGAACTTATTTGAAATTTTCTTAGGGGCCGGCACTGTGGTATAGCGGGTAAAGCCGACACCTGCAGTGCTGGCATCCCATATGGGCACCAGTTCCAGTCCTGGTTGCTCCACTTCTGATCTAGCTCTCTGCTAATGTGCTGGGGAAAGCAGCAGAAGCTGGCCCAAGTCTTTGGGCTCCTGCACCTGCGCGGGAGATCTGGAAGAAGCCCCATGCTCCTCGCTTCGGCCTGGCCCATCTCCAGCCATTGTGGCCAGTTGGGGAGTGAACCAGCAGATGAAAACCTCTCTCTCTCTGTCTCTCTGTAACTCTGCCTTTCAAATAAATAAATAAATCTAAAAATTTTTAAAGATATATTTGTGCATTTATATGAGATACAGAGCATCAGAGAGAGAGGAAGAGAGGGAGACAGAGACAAAATCTTCCATCTGCTGCTTCATTCCTCAAATGGCTGCAACAGCTGGGGCTGGCCAAGAGCCAGAAACTCCATCCAGGTCTTCCACATGGGTGGCAGGGACCAAAGCATGTGGGCCATCATCTTCTGCCTTCCCAGGTGCATTAGCTGGGAGACAGATTGGAAGTGGAGCAGCCAGGACTTGAACTGGCATTCTGATATGGGATGCTGGCTAACCCACTGTACTACAGTGCTGGCCCCAAATTATTTCTCTATATAGGCCCAAACAAATTACATTATTTACCTCATTCTATCACAGTTCTATACCCTTCTCATTACCAACCTATTCTTCCTAAGTCTTTCCATGACAGAAATGGGGCACCCTGAAGAGAAGTGAATGTTCTGCAAATGGTAAAATGCTACCTGCCATTGTAGATTTTTGCTGATTTATAAAACCTAGAAAGAAAAATAGAAGCCATTAAAAGATGGGACAAAGTGATTGAAAGGAAGGAAAAGAATTCTAGTAATAAAGTCTGAAAGGGACATGTAAAAGAAACTAAGGTATAGTCAAATATGTTTGTAAATTATTTGTAAAAATGTAATTCCTGAATAATGAAAACAAGAAGGTAATGATCACTACAGGGAAGTATGGACAAAAATGTAGATAAGCAATTTACAAAATAACACACATTTAAAAAAATTATATATGTTTTAAAAAATTATTTGAAAGAGATGAAGGGAGGTGAAGGAGAGGGGAAAACAGAGAGATCTTTCATTCCCTGTTTTACTTGCTAAATGCACACAACTGCTGGGGTTGGGCCAGATCAAAGTCTGGAACTCAATCTCCCACATGGGTGGCAGATACCCAGCAACTTGGCCATCAACTGTTGCCTCCCATGGTGCACATTAGCAGAAAACTGAAATTAGAATTGGAACTGGGACTTGAACAGAGACGCTGATGTGGGATGCAGGTGTCCCAAGTGCATCTTAACTGATGCACCAAATGCCCACCCCTACATAACTTTAAAAAAAAAAAGGAAATCCAACCTCTTTTCCAATTAAAAAATATACATTAACATGCATATGTAAAAGAGCCTTTTCTGAAATACAATATTCCAAACTAGCTTTCTACTGTCTAATTTGGTGTTTGCAAAGGCAATCCTAGCCCAAATTCTTTCTTACACTGGTTTGTTACAGTGTCTCTAAGATACCATTACCGTAAGATCAGATTTGAGTGTTGGCTTATGTCATCATCAATGAGGACGCTCATGAACACAAGTTATTCTGAGTGGAGTCACTAAACAAAATCTTTAGCCAACAGCTAAAATATTATAATTTTTGGTCCTTTTTAAAGGACTGGTTAATGCTTACACTTTTTGAAAAAATAATTTATTTATTTGAGAGACAGAGAGAAGAGACACATAAAGAGTTCCCACCCACTGGCTTACTCTCCAAATACCCACGACAGCCTTGTATCAGTTACAAGAAGCCATTCCAGAGGCACTACTAAGGAAAATTCAAGAGTGTTTCTACATACCAAATACAGGGGAGCTCTTTGATAAAGGGCAGCAGGCAGTCTTATATATTTTGTATTTAAAAACAATACACTTAATAACTTAAATAATAAAAAAAGACAATACACCATTTTTATTTTCTCATTTCACTATGTTTGGACAAAAACATCATAACAGACTGTCACTAGTCTACAGAACAGTTGTTACAAACTACTTTGTATCAATGTGTTTTAAAAATGAAGAAAACACTGGGGGTGGGGGGCGTTGTGGTGTAGCATGCTGAGCTACCATCTGCAGCACAAGTCTCAGCTTGCTAATGTGCCTGGAAAAGCAGCAGGGGATGGCCCAAGTGCTTGGACCCCTGTACCCACATGGGAGGCCCAGAAGAAGCTCTAGGCTCCTGGCTTCAGCTTGGCCTAGCCCCAGTAGTTGCGGCCATTTGGAGAGTGAACCAGCAGGTGGAAGATCTCACTCTCTGTCTCTCCTCTCTCTCTGTAACTCTGCTTTTCAAATAAATAAATAAATCTTAAAAAAAGTAATAATATGAGTATTTCTAATTGTTTACAGAAAAGGAAAAAAAGGTTACATACTAAGCATATGTAAACTATTGTTTGATTAGACATGAAAAGAAAAAGACTGCATACTTTAAAGGGATGAACTTTATGGTATTCAATTATATCTCAGTAAAGCTATTAAAATAGTTTATATAATCAGTCATTCAGCCTTGTAGTGGGATGAAAGAGGAGGAGAGGAATGCGACAGCAAAATCAGGAATTGAGCTAAATTCCCAGTCTATTATTTGGCCCTTAGTAATGCACCAGAGATAGAAAGAGAAAGAAACAGAATGGGAGGGAAGGAGAGAGGTTGGTGCTAGAGAAAAGGGAAGTCCTGGGGCAAAAGGTCAAGAGGAACCAAATGTCACCGCTAAAACACTTTAAAGAATTCTTAAAAACATGAACTATCTTACAGAAGACTTCTGCCAGACATTAACAGAATGAAACCTGATAGTCCTCTTCTTTCATCCACAAACCAGCCATTTCCAAAACTGCAGCAAGAGTACAGGAAGCTTATTTAGAAGTCTTACTTCCAAAGGCTGCAACAACTTTCATATACAGATTACATGAATAAAACTATAGGCTGTTTTTAAAACCAACTCAGATCTTACCATATGTAATGGGAACAATTCTTATAGAAAAGGAACACAAAGTTTTTTTTTTTTTCCAAAAAATGACAACACTTAGATGCTGATAAACAGAAAATGCTGGTACACATTTATTCTTTTATTGCTAAACATCAAATGCTGGGAATTATGATATCTTCAAGTTAAAGCTTAAGGATGAATTACAACACAGTCAAAAGATTGATAGAAAAAAAATACCTGTGCACCATTAGTATGTAGACATTCAATAAATATCATAGGACAACGTGACTGAGAGCCATATATCTATGAAACACATGTTTACAATCTGCTGTTAGAAGACACATAGACCTATATGAGTGATTATCAAAAGGTTGAGTTTAACTGCATGTCTTTTCAAGCTGAGATGCTGAAAAGTATACATTCTTTACAGATTGTAGGTGACTTTAAAAAACTGCTAAAAAATGTAAACAATGCAGAGTCGGAACACTGAGAATAAACTTTTACTGTTGAACAAAGTAACAACACAGAACACTTCCTTCAAATTCTTGAAATAATTAGTTTTTCTAATTATTGTATAGAAAACCGTATGGATTCTTTCTATAAAGATGATAATACACCAAGGACACAAAGATCTTCCAAGTTTTTTTTTATGTTAACATATATTTACAGTAACTATTCAATAATACTTTTTACAGCTTACTTAAATAGAGACATGCTTTTCTAATCCATAAATAACATTAATCATCATCCATTCAACCACATTTATTTATTAAGTACTTATGACGTCTCATGCACTGTGCCAGGGATGCAAATACAAATACATGGTCCTTGCTCTAGAAGTGCCCACCATCAAGCTGAAGAGACAACACATAACATTTGCTTTCTTAGACAATGAGGCTACTTCACAATTGGTACTAATTGCTCAGTTTGCGAGTAGAGTGGTTCCCAAACCCTGACCCTATGGATCAACAGACCAAAGTGTTTAACACATTTTGATTTTGTTTTTGTACCCATAAAAAGAAGCTAATGGATAGCATTTATTTTATTAAAATCTTTTCTCAGTTTTTTTAAAAAAATGACTTGTACATATACAACATTTTCTTAGTAAACTTCTTAGTTCATGTAATTGAATTAATTATATAGGTATTTCATGGCATTTCCCAAGCTCTACTATCTGAACAGGTCTTAGCATTACTATGCTAATATATTTTGATCCCAAATGGCTGTCTACCTAATAACAGAACAAATGCCATATTTTCTTGGATAAAACAGTAATTTGCATGGTTTTAGTGAGTAAGATTAATTGATGACTACAGTCATTAATAAAATGTCGAAATTATACTTAATATAATTTCACTTTAAGGCGGCAAAATTTTTAATACAATCTAAAAAGTTTCTTAAAAATGATGAAAACATTTTAGTGCTTAAAGAGCAACTCAATGGCCCAAGAAAAGTGACACATGGAATATCTTACTTACTGAAGAAATTGGATATGTGATTATTAATGAATTATTGCCTTTTATTACTTCTTGAGTGTGTGAGAGAAACATGTATTTTTCACCAAGGAAACAGCATGCTCGTGTCCTTCTAAGACCAACAGCTTCACACTGACCAGTTGACTTCCCCAGTTTCTGAGGGCTGCATCTCCACAACATAAGACCTCGAACCACATGTGGCTCTTTCAGGCTCAAGAGTTCATTCCCAAGCTCTGGAAAATCTGTGTTTTTGCTCATATGTAGCCTTTCTTACACTACTACCATGTCTTCATGGACCCACAGAGGTAGCTTTAGGAAAGAGATGGAAAGCAAGGACCAGGTGCTTAATTACCTGACACAGAGTAACATGGGAGCCGCTGGTGATGAGAGTATGGCTCAGGGCTTAAGTTTGTTGCTTCTTGAAGACAGGAACCCTGCAGTTGGGCCCCAGATGGCCTCAGTAGCACAAAAGAAAATGTCTACCCTGGAAGGGTTCCAAGTTTCAAAGTTCTATAGGAAATAGAAAGCAGGACTGCTAAAGATCTTGTGGTCTGGCTTTAGATCTGTCAGAGGACCTGGCTTAGTGCTGAGGTTCAACCATGACTGCTAGGAGACACTTCCTGCAGCTCACTCCAATGTCAAGGCTGGTGCTGCTTTATAAGGGTGCGGAGATGCACTACATACATTATGTCTCATAATATCAAAGGCCCTATTACTTAGGGTTCATTTATTTGGCATCACTTGACAAAGATTTTCCCTTTCATGTCAGTAGATTCTTTTACAGAATTTTATTAATTATAATCAGGCCTCAGTTTTCAGAGTATAAAATGATACACCATGAACTATTAAAATACTTTTGAAACAAGACAAAGAACAAGACATACAGGCCAAGAAAATGCTCACTCTTTGACTTGGCCAAAGTCTGGACTCCTTAGAATTGTGACTAATTAGGCTTTTTCAATAATTTTATCCAATTAATTCCACCTAATTCTGTTCTCCTTTATACTATACAACGATATGTAGTCACACAAAATGGTATTACATGAATGAGTCTGTACTTGTTTAGAAAATGTCCCACACATATCTGAAGTGTGTATTTTCAGTCTTTAAAACTAGAATGTAGTCATGGACTGTGTCTTTCAGTTCTTCTGCTCACCCCCCTCCCCTTACTGCAGTGTGTGTATACTTTGGATGCAGGAGGAGTTCAAAGTTGTTGGCTAACGTGGAATTTTAAGGACATACTTCATATTTCATACAAAGTATGATTTTGAGGGGCAGTGGGTCTTACCACAGAGGTGTATACTGTAACTGAGAGATTTTGCCAAAGGAGTGTACATATTACCGTGCTGTAACCATCCAGAGTCCCAGAGTGACGTTGGCAGCCAAAAGGACACTGCCACCAAGCAAGATGAAAAATCCTATCAGATCTTTGACATCGTTGTCTCCAATCACTGAGGTAAGGGTGGCATCCAGGAAAGAGTTTAAAATCCACTGTCCATCCAAAGCAAAGCAGGGCACTGCATTAACAATAGCCAGAGCTCCTGAGAGAGAAATCAGGTACCTGGATTATAATCGGTTAAGGAGCTGACCGTGAGGTCTGAGTGGAAACCACATTTCTGAGTCAGGAGATATTTTACTGACTAAAATTGAGATCACAGTTGACTTACCTGCTTTAAATCTTTGTCATTCCTTATTTGGTCTCTGCTATTTAAAATAAACGAGTTTACATTATTTCAAAGTTCAAAAACCTAGACTACAAAAATAAAGGCCAACCACTTATAAACTAAGCCAATCTATAATGAACTCTCAGGGGGACTAAGCCTTTCTAATCCTTTAATGATACATGGGAAAGGAAGGTGGAAGGATTAAGAAATAAAGGAAAATTACTTTTTGATTCTCACGGAGTATTATTTTGTATTAGCACTACAGTTTGGAGATGATTTGGCTCCCCAACTCATGAAGACATTTAAACTCTTAATTATTATGTTAATGGATAACAGGATAATGCTAATGGTAGATGAATTAATGGTAAGACTTGATGTAATTATGGTACCTGGGAAGTGGGTCTAGTGCGAAGTCTTTAGATCTCTGGGGGTACGCTCTTGGAAGGTGGTTCTTGTGAGAGGGCTGGTTTTGTATTTCAAGTTTGGCCTAGCTGTTCTCTCTACTTCCTGGCTTGTCAGTAATCCTTCTGTATACTCTCCACCATTGCCAGCCTCTTTCAGAGGCCAGATTAATGAGACCACTCGATCTTGGACTGTGAACCTCCAAACCATGAGATGAAATAAACTCTCCTTCAGAAATAGCTCAAATATTTGAGTTAAAGTAACAAAAACCTGACAAATACAATCAGGAAACACAAAGATTCTATCCTTTGAGCCCTACTTTAGTTTATTATCTGTAAGACTATCAACTCTGTGACAGGACTACAAACTCTACAAGGTAAAATCTTGATTGTATTATTTGGGATAACTGCTTATTTGTTTTCCATTTCATTTTGCTACATATCACTGAAGAAAAAATTTTTAAATATTTCAAAGTGACAAAAATAAAGAATTCTTGCAAAACTTTCCATTAATTAAAGTTCCACAGATGAATTTTTAAAAATTTTCATCTTTTATATGCAAACATAATATGATATAGACAACATGAGATTTTGTCCCGTGAAATGCTTTTAAGTAGCGGAAACTTATCTTCCTTACACGTTCCTCTTTGAGACCAATATAATTCATGGTTACGCGTATGATTCATGATCCACTTGGTTAGAATTAAAAGGCTCAGATAAGACAGAATTCATCACCTCCCTAGTAACCAAAGCTTTTATTCTTTATAAACTTACTAAAAGGTTTTAAATCTGTAAATTAAATTCTCAATTTATATTCAGGTTTCCTTCCCTTTCATATCCTAACTTTTCTCCCTCCCTGATCAATCTTTCTCTTCTGACTTTGTCCCTCCTGTGTACAATCTGATCTCTTTCAACTTTAAAGTATCTTTTTTAGTTGTCAGTGATTAAGTGATACTTATAAGGTCCTTACTTGTAATGTTCTATTCAAATTAAACTGATCAAGTTCTAAGCAATACACTTTTCAAAGCATTTTTTTTTTTTTGGTATACTGGCTGCTCACTTCTGATCCAGCTCCCTGCTAATGTGCCTGGGAAAGCAGCAGAGGATGGCCCAGGTACCTGAGCCCTTGCACCCATGTAGGGGACCCTGATGGAGCTCCTGGCTCCTGGCTTCGGCCTGGCCCAAATCTGGCCATTGTAGCTGTTTGGGGAGTGAACCAGCGAATGGAGGACCTCTCTCTCTACCTCTCTGTCTTTAACTCTTTCAAATAAATAAATCTTTAAAAACAAAACAAATAAACACAAAAAAAAAACATTTTTACACACAAAAAAGGATACTTGACAAATGTTTCCAAAACCACTGGAAGATCTATGCTTAGAAAGTTGAAACGTGGGATAAAACTGGTGATGCTCACTAAAAAAGAAAAATAAGGAATAAGGAATGTTATTCATACAGGTAAGTAACAGCATTATGAACTTTACCATATGGTCAAAAACCAGACTAGTTCTAAAATGAGTAAGAAAGCCTTTCATAAATATATGTAGGCAGGTTATCTGCATCACATATAAAAGCATTCAATTATTCTGTAACATCTAATAAAAGTAGTAGAATGAAAAAATTCATATACTAGTCTGTACTTACATTTTAAGATGAGAGTAAGATAAAGCTGTCTATAACACCAAGTATGACTACCAAACACAGAGTCTGACTTAACGAAATACTATAATTTTTATCATGAGTCCTCACTATTTTAAAGTGTCATAATATCAAATCACATTTACTCCAACTACTATGATACCTAACCTCTTTCTGTCTCAGTATTTTTCTTCATTGTTAAAACAAGGATGGAGACAAGAGGATTTTTAAAGTCTCTTCTAAAAAAAGTTTTCTACTATTTGTGGATTCCATAATCCTGTTTTTGTTGAAAACATTTAAAACATTTAAAAACTATTCTGTAATTAGAACCCATGGTACACATTTCTGAATTACTTTAATTTGGGACAGCCTTCATTTGTTGAGTTTCTGAAATCATATTCATTTAAAATTCACATGTTTTACATAAATTATTTTATAATCACATCCCCTTGCATCCAGGTATTCTCTAGGGTATGCCACTTTTGTCACTGTTTTGAGGAGCTCAGATAAGTTTAATAAGCTCTCAGTGAAGACATGAGGGATCATATATTTGACTTGAGCATCAACCGTGGGGTAGGAAGAATGTACCACTCTTTATAGGCAGGCACGGGATTCAGCTCCATCTTGCTTTATAAATTCAGATTATATTCTTACTGCTTAAATTTCATTTAAGCTTAAGAACAAGTCAGCAATACTTATATAAGAGATCAAGCAAAAAATAAGTAAAACTAACGCAATGATTTTTAGTGAGTTTCTACAAATAAGAATATATGTAATTTTAATGATTTTCTAAGGGTTTACTACAATAATACACACCTGTGTAGTGGAGATGCAGTGGATGTCCTACATATAACATATCTATCTGAGGTGGATGTTTCACTTTTATTAAGCGAGTGTGAGTTTCCAAAGATGGTATTATACAGAAACTGGAACTTGAGCTTTTCTTACAGTCTTTATTGGTTCTACAAACTTGGGTGGCTTCAATTGCTTTCCGGGCAGGTAGACATGTATGCTATAAATAAAATATTACTTAGTCAATATTAAACATGATTTATTAAAAACAAAAATCCAAGTTACAGTCATTCAATATTTTTCATAGCACCCAGTACACTAGGAATGAAGTTCGTATAAAAGAAATACAATTTATGTATACCTACTATAAGTTAGATTCAATGACCTCACTTTGACCAGATAAGGTATTACCATTAAAAATTTTTAAAGATTCACAGATGAAATATGGCACCTGAAATGTAGATTTTTAATAAAATAATATAAAGTAGATAGAGCAAAAGGGAGTTTTCACAGATTCCATTTTAGCTGCTCATGCTTACTTTGTAATGAGTTTACAAGACAAGCCAGACTGCCTCAGAAACAACTTACCAAACGCTTATTAAAATTATTTCTGTAGGAAAAACACACATCTGTGAGGCTGTGATTGTTACAGCATTCGGTAGAACCATCTAGCCGTTTGTATGCTAAAGAGAAACACAGTGTTTATTAGAATCTGTTACTCGGAAGTACAATGGCAATAAAAATTTTGCTTTTAAGACAAAGAGAGTAAGTAAAATGGCACATAAATTTGGAAGCAACTGTGTAATTCAGAACTGACAGCTACTCATTACAATTTGATTTTACATTACAAAAAAAGATCCACCTAATTTGAAATCAAGAAGCAGCACTTATCCTAGGAGAGTTTTCCTCATATAAACTTACCGACCCATAAAGCTAGAGTTCTAGGGTCTGAGTACGTTTTGCAATAGTAACTCCAGGGCCCTTTCTGAAGTAGATAGTGAAGAAGCGCCTATCTACTTCTGAAAAGTTTGGAAGATGTTAAGTGGCTCTTGAGAATAGAGAACATTTGTACATATTTAAACCTTAAATAACCAGGTTGTCTCAGTGAACAATATTCACATTACTAAAAGGGAAAACACCAGAAACTGGGTGCCTTCTGATACGATGCAATAGGCGGTACCACTTACTACCCTTGAAGTATTTTTTAAAGATTCAAAAGGATCCTGAATCTAATCTAGACCTAATCACTGGTTTATAGTAAATTGGGAGACATTTGAACATGTTAGTGACGTCATGAAGATGAGATAACCAAAAAATTTGAGAATATAGGAGATTTGAGAAAATAAAAAACTCAGTGTATTCATTAAACAAATCCAGTTCAAGAAAATGGGGGACTTATGACAAAAGACTTCAAAGACATACCATCCAACTTAAACAAGCCAATTATTTTAAAAAATTAAGGAAGATTAAATGCTAACGAGATATTAATTTTGTAAGGGATAGTGATGGTACTGTAAATCATGCTTAAGGAGTCATCATCTATTGAGGACAGGCTGAAGTTTATACATGATATGATAGGATGCCTGGGAAGTGCTTTAAAATAATCCCCCCAAAACTGACTTGCTTAGATGAAACAACTGGCAAATTGTTAATAATTGTTCAATCTGGGGGAATGACACATGAGAGCTTGTTTACACTGTTTTGATATTGTCTGAAATATTTTTATAATAAAAAAGTTCCTAAAATGGATTATACACGGAAGATTAAATTTGAAAGAATTTAAAAACATAGTTCTAACTATTTTCCCTTTGCTGCAAACAGTACTTTAGAAAAATTACCAGTATTAGTCACATTTGCTTACACCAATAGACTTAGACAAATGTCCAGGGTATTTTTTGCCTAAGACACAGTCTCTGAATATAATCTATATTTTCTAACACTTTCCCTGAAATTTTGTATAAAGAGTTGGGAAGTTGATGTTTCAAAGCTGAACAAACTCAAAGTAAGTTCAGCAGGTTCTGAGAATAAACTTGCTTCAGCCTTGTCACTTGCTGCACAAAGCAACATATCTGACTTCAAAGGATAACTTTGGAAGTCAAGATAATTTCCACTGGAAGTCTGCCACATGAAATATATAAAATATCTACCCCAGATAGTGTTGGACATGGCACTGTCCAAATGGCAACCACTAGAATTGCTTAAGTTATATTTCAACACAAAGATGTAAGGGAATCTTTTCTAATTCTCAGGAGGGGTTTGTGTTTGCCAAGTTCCTTTTATTTATTTTAACCTTTCCTTATTGCAAGCCTGTGTTGGAAGCACAATATATTAATATAGAATACTTATGCTTTGACTTTTGTCTATGTGGTTGTTAACCATCAACTGTTAATCTGTTCTGACATAAGCTTAGACAAAGGACAATTACATCTCGATACACATATCACCTTTTGTTTTACATTTTACAAGTATAAATTAAAACAGTACTATTTATCTATATACACGCATAAAGATAATATTATATTAGGTGGGATCCAATTACTGGAGTTCAGTTAATTGGTTAAGGTTGAACTTAAATGCTGATTTAACAGTTTTTTGAAAGCAGAAAGAATTAGATACATGAAGCCTGAAAGTCACATATATTACAAACATAATTAGAAGATCAACAACAATGTATAATAAATGAAATTTATATATTAGTATTTCACCAAGAAGAGTGTCTATTAGTTCTGGCATATTGTTTTCCTAATTTACTTTAAAAAGGTTAGAACAAAATAAGTGTAGGCATAGTCTAAGCATTAGCAAAAGGCAGGTTTTGGTGTTTGAAGCATTACATTATATTGAAGAAACATACACACCTCTAACAGGGAAGCTTAACTGTTGTAAAGTTGATGCACTTATACAATAGCCAATCTGGGGCTCATAGGCAATGGTATCTAGACATTCATTCCAATCTTGCACATTAGTAACAGGGCAATCCTGTAGATGGGTAACAAGATCTCCCACAAAAAGGCCTCTGGGTCCAATAGCAGGTGAGTCCTTGGGAAGAGGGCAAAACCAGATCAGATAATGCATGAAAATAAGCTATGATTAACCTGAACAAATAAAAGTTAAAAGGAATGAGAGAATTAAACGGAGTATCTTGAATAGTGCATAAAATAATCCAGCTCTGAATCTAAGACATATAGTCTAGAAAATTAACAAAATAAATTTAATTACAGTTGTTTCCCCAATTCTCAAAGATTTTGAGTTTTGCACAATTGAAAAACAAATCCACCTGCCAAATGTCAACATTAAAATGATCAAGTTTTGGGGCTGGTGACACCAGCATCCCATATGGGCATTGGTTCATGCTCCACTTCCAATCCAGCTCTCTGCTAATGGCCTGGGAAAAACAGCAGAAGATGGCCCTCGTGGGAGACCCAGAAGAAGCTCTTGATTCCTGAATTTGGTGTGGCCCAGCCCTGGCTATTGTGGCCATCAGCAGATGGAAGCTCTCTCTCTCTCTCTCCCTCTCTCTCTCCCTAACTCTGTCAAATAAATAAATAAATAATCTTTTTTTTAATTTTAATTTTTTTATTTTTTGACAGGCAGAGTGGGCAGTGAGAGAGAGAGAGAAACAGACAGAAAGGTCTTCCTTTGCCGTTGGTTCACCCTCCAATGGCCGCCGCGGCCAGCGCACCGCGCTGATCCGATGGCAGGAGCCAGGAGCCAGGAGCTTCTCCTGGTCTCCCTATGTGGGTGCAGGGCCCAAGCACCTGGGCCATCCTCCACTGCACTCCCTGGCCACAGCAGAGAGCTGGCCTGGAAGAGGGGCAACCGGGACAGAATCCGGCACCCCGACTGGGACTAGAACCCGGTGTACCGGCGCCACAAGGCGGAGGATTAGCCTAATGAGCTGCGGCGCCGGCCTAAATAAATAATCTTTTAAAAAGCCTTTTAAAATGATCAAGTTTTTCCCAAATTGCTAGTTAATTTTTTTGATGAAGTAATCATCAGACTACCTTCACTTTCTTATATCCTCAGTGAATGAAACTGTAAGACAAATCCTTATATAAACACCATTCCAAATATGCAGACAATAGCATCAGCACAATAAATACATAAGCCAATTGCTCACAAAAGTTATTTTCCTCTTTCCAATGTCTGAATAGAAGATTTGATGCCATCATAGTAATTTTTGTCTGAGGGAGTGTGGGGAGCAACCCGGACTGGACTAAGTTACTGGAATTAAGACTTATTCTATGCATCTGCTCTCCCACAATATGGCGCTGAGAAGGGAGAAACAGCTTCTACACAGCTGCCTCCAGTTCAACCAATAAACTGTAGGACCTGCTCCTGATTGGAGGAGAGCAGCGTACTCGGCGTGTGGGTAGCAGAGTTGGGATTGGTGGAAGAGGACTATAAAGGAGGAGAGAGACAACATGCACCAGGAACATCTAACGGGAACATCCACCTGAGGAACACCTGTGCAGCCCCCGAGAGAGCCGGCCGGTGGTGTGCCGCTCCCCCGCGGAAGTGGGGAAGGTGGCAGGGGGAACCGCCCTTCCACGGAGGTGGAAGGGATGGTAGCCAACCCGGGAAGGACCAGCAGTAAACCCGGGGAGGGCCGAGCAGACAAAAGAACAGCGCAGGGTCCTGTGTCGTTCCTCCACGAAGAGGGGGAGCGACATAATGGTGCCGTGACTCGGATAGGAAGCTTAGGAGGGAAGAAACGGGAAGAAGTGGAAAATACCGGAGAGAGAGACTAGCAAAGAGCCTAGGGGAAAGCCGCACGAAAAAGGTGCCAGAAGAAGCTATTGAAAGCCTAGGCATAGACTCGGATATGGACTGTGAGAAAGAAGTTAAGGCCGAAAGCGAAAGTGAAAGCTAGAACAAACAGACTCGGATACGGACTGTGGGGAGAAGCCAGGAGAAATGAGGGAGGAATATTGTTGGAAGAAAACTTAGGGAAACATACCGGGTAGAGAAAAGTGTTAGGGAAATTGAAGCTGCGGGGGCAGGCCGAGGCGGAAACGTAAGCCAGCTTGGGATTCTTCAAGTCAGCCCGGGGAGCAAAAGGCGAAAATCTGGAACCAGAGGCAGAGACGTGGGCCGCCAGGTTGGAATTCGCCAGGTTAGTCCGGGGAACTTGGACTGAATGCCGGTGGTGGCGGAAACGTAAGCTATGCTGTGTGACTCGCGGAAGCCGCCACGTGCAGAGAGCGCGCGGGGCGTGAATAGATAGGGAACGCGGGGCTGGCACAAGGCCGTGGTGCGGGCGCGAAGGGCATGGAGACCGCGGAGTGTGCGCGCGAAGCCGAGCCGCGCAGAGCCGGGAGCCCGCCGCAGGGCGGGCGCCGTGAAGCCGCGCAGATGAGAGAAGCGCGGGCTGAAGCGGCTCAGAGCCGGGAAGTCGCCGAGAAGCAGCCTCGGGGCAGGCGCCGGGAAGCCGCGAAGATAAGAGAAACAGAAGTTTAGAAGTAAAATGAGAGAAATAGGAATGCTGGTAGATAGAAGTAAAATAGGAGAAATAGGAATGCCCGGAGATAGAGAAATAGAGAAAAATAAGGCCTCCCCACAACACGCACGGCAATGAGAGAGCTTGGATTCGGTCTGCCTTATTAGTAAGACGATAAGCACCTGTGGGCGGCTGCAGGTCACCGAAGACAGGCATGTTATCAACACCAATAAGTCTCCCCACAATACGGCAATGAGAAGGCTTGGATTCGGTTTGCCTGATTGATAGGGCTTGTAAGCACCTGCAGGCAGTTCTAGCAGAGCAGAGCATGCGCTGCAGGGCACCGAACTCAGGCACACATCAGCGCCTAAAAACCTCCTCACAACATGGTGAAGAGAGGACCCGGACTCGGTTTGCCTGATTGGTAGGGCTTGTAAGCACCTGTGGACAACTCCAGCAAGCAGAGCAGAGTGTGTGCCGCGGGGCACCGAAGACAGGCGCGTATCAACGCCAAAAAAATAAAAAGAAAGGGGGATCTGTGGGGAGCAACCCGGACTGGACTAAGTTACTGGAATTAAGACTTATTCTATGCATCTGCTCTCCCAAAATATGGCGCTGAGAAGGGAAACAGCTTCTACACAGCTGCCTCCAGTTCAACCAATAAACTGTGGGACCTGCTCCTGATTGGAGGAGAGCAGCGTACTCGGCGTGTGGGTAGCAGAGTTGGGATTGGTGGAAGAGGACTATAAAGGAGGAGAGAGACAACATGCACCAGGAACATCTAACGGGAACATCCACCTGAGGAACTGTCGCTCCCCCTCTTCGTGGAGGAGCAACACAGGACCCTGCGCTGTGCTTTCGTCTGCTCGGCCCTCCCCGGGTTTGCTGCTGGTTCTTGCCGGGTTGGCTACTATCCCTTCCACCTCCGTGGAAGGGCAGTTCCCCCTGGCCACATTCCCCACTTCCGCAGGGGAGTGGCACACCGCCGGCCGGCTCTCTCGGGGGCTGCACGGGTTCCCTTAGATGTTCCCCATAGATGTTCCTGGTGCATGCCGTCTCTCTCCTCCTTTATAGTCCTCCTCCGCCAATCCCAACTCGGCTGCCCACACGCCGAGTACGCTGCTCTCCTCCAATCAGGAGCAAGTCCTACAGTTTATTGGTTGAACTGGAGGCAGCTGTGCGGAAGCTGTTTACTTCTCTCCCAGCGCCATATTGTGGGAGAGCAGATGCATAGAATAAGTCTTAATTCCAGTAACAGTCTAGTCCGGTTTGCTCCCCACAGATCCCCCTTTCTTTTTATTTTTGGCGTTGATACGCGCCTGTCTTTGGTGTCCCGCGGCACACACTCTGCTCTACTTGCTAGAGTTGCCACAGGCTCTTACAAGTCCTATCAGGCAAACCGAATCCAAGCCTTCTCATTGCCTTATTGTGGGGGAGACTTATTAGTGTTGGTTCGTGCCTATCTTCGGTGACCTGCAGCTCATACTCTGGTCGAGCTGCTTGCTGGCGCTTACCGCCTTAATCAGGCAGACTGAATCCAAGCCTTCTAATTGCGGTATTGTGGGGAAGCCTTACTGATGTTAATTCGTGCCTGTTTTCGGTGACCTGCGGCGCATAAGCTGCTAGCCGCCCAGGTGCTCATCGCCTCACTTAATCAGGCAGACCGAATCCAAGCTTTCTCGTTGCCATGTTGAGGGGAGGCCTTATTTTTCTCTATTTCTCTATCTCCGGGCATTTCTATTTCTCCCATTTTACTTCTGTCTGCCAACATTCCTATTTCTCTTTTACTTCTAAACTTCTGTTTCTCTTATCCCCGCAGCTTTCCGGCACCTCGCCCCGCCGGCGGGTTCCCGGCTCTGCGCCGCTTCAGCCCGCGCGCCTCTCTCATCTGCGCAGCTTCCCGGCTTTGCGCGGCTCGGCTTCGCGCGCTCCGCGGTCTCCACGCTTAACCCTTTCGCGTCTGAACCACGGCCTACGCCAGCCCCGTTCCCTATCTATTCACGCCCCGTGCTCTCTCTGCACGCGGCGGCTTCCGCGAGTAACACAGCGTAGCTTACGTGTCCGCCACTAGCATTCAATCTAAGTTCCCCGGGCTAGCCTGGCGAATTCAACCCAGCGTACGTCTCCGCCCCACGGTTTGGCTTCCCGTCCTTTGCTCCCCGGGCTAATCAGACGGATCCCAACCAGGCTCACGTTTCAGCTTCTAGTTTCAACTTTTCGCCCCCTATTCCCGGGCTAACTTGAGAATCCCAAAGTGGCTTTCGTGTCCGCCTTGGCCTGCCCCCCGCGGCTTCAATTTCCCTAACATTTTTCTCTACCCGGTATGTTTCCCTAAGTTTTCTTCCAACAATATTCCTCCCTCATTTCTCCTGGCCTCTCCCCACAGTCCGCGTCCGAGTCTGTTTGTTCTAGCGTTCACTTTCACTTTCGACCTTAGAGATTTCTCCCAGCTTCCCCCCGTAGTCCGTATCTGAGTCTATGCCTAGGCTTTCAATAGCTTCTTCCGGCTCCTTTTTCGTCCGGCTTTTCCCTAGGCTGTTTGCTAGTCTCTCTCTCCGATATTTTCCCAATTCTTCCCGTTTCTTCCCTCCTAAGTTTCATATCCGTCCTAGGTTTCCTATCCGAGTCATTTCTTCCCTCCTAAGTTTCCTATCCGAGTCAGGTTTCCTATCCGAGTCACGGCACCATTATGTCGCTCCCCCTCTTCGTGGAGGAGCAACACAGGACCCTGCGCTGTGCTTTCGTCTGCTCGGCCCTCCCCGGGTTTGCTGCTGGTTCTTGCCGGGTTGGCTACTATCCCTTCCACCTCCGTGGAAGGGCAGTTCCCCCTGGCCACATTCCCCACTTCCGCAGGGGAGTGGCACACCGCCGGCCGGCTCTCTCGGGGGCTGCACGGGTTCCCTTAGATGTTCCCCATAGATGTTCCTGGTGCATGCCGTCTCTCTCCTCCTTTATAGTCCTCCTCCGCCAATCCCAACTCGGCTGCCCACACGCCGAGTACGCTGCTCTCCTCCAATCAGGAGCAAGTTCTACAGTTTATTGGTTGAACTGGAGGCAGCTGTGCGGAAGCTGTTTACTTCTCTCCCAGCGCCATATTGTGGGAGAGCAGATGCATAGAATAAGTCTTAATTCCAGTAACAGTCTAGTCCGGTTTGCTCCCCACAAGGAACACCTGTGCAGCCCCCGAGAGAGCCGGCCGGCGGTGTGCCGCTCCCCCGCGGAAGTGGGGAAGGTGGCAGGGGGAACCGCCCTTCCACGGAGGTGGAAGGGATGGTAGCCAACCCGGGAAGAACCAGCAGCAAACCCGGGGAGGGCCGAGCAGACAAAAGAACAGCGCAGGGTCCTGTGTCATTCCTCCATGAAGAGGGGGAGCGACATAATGGTGCCGTGACTCGGATATGAAGCCTAGGCAGGGTTTAGTGTTGCTCCTCCGTGAAGAGGGGGAGCGACAAGGGAGTATAACACAGAGTTGAATATATCAACTTAAACTTCTACAAAAATGCTCTGCTGGGCAGTCTGGGTTTCATCTTTCTCATTCACGTACTAATCAAGCTTGGCTCTCCTTAACTACCGGTCAGACATGTTCAGGGTGGCATAGCTGTAGACTACGTTTTCTCTTATACATCTTACGAGTAGAGTTACAGAGAGAGGGGGAGGGATCTTCCAACTGCTGGTTCATTCCCCAAATGGTCACAACAGTTGGAGCTGGGCCACACAAAAGCCAGGAGCCAGGAGCTCCTGGGTCTCCCATGTGGGTGCAGGGGCACAAGCACTTGGGCCATCTTCTGCTGCTTTCCCAGGTGCATTAGCAGGGAGCCAGATGGGAAGTGAAGCAGCCAGGACTTGAACTGGCTCCTATATGGGATGCTGGTGCTGTAGGCAGAGGCTTAACCTGCTACACCACAGCGCCAGCCCAGGAGCAGGGACATTTGACTCAAAAGCAGAGATATAAAAATAAACAGCGGGGGCCGGTGCTGTGGCTACCACCTGCGGTGCCGGCATCCCATGTGGGCACGGGTTTGGGTCCTGGCTGCTCCACTTCCGATCCAGCTCTCTGCTATGGCCTGGGAAAGCAGTAGAAGATGGCCCAAGTCCTTGGGCCCCTGCACTCACATGGGAGATCTGGAGGAATCTCCTGGTTTTAGATTGGCACAGTTCCGGCTATTGCGACCAACTGGGGAGTGAACCAGTGTATGGAAGACCTCTCTCTTTGCCTCTCCTTCTCTCTTTGTGTAACTCTTTCAAATAAATAAATAAATATTAAAAAAAATAAACAGCAAAGGTAACAATGCATTTTATCAATAAACTACACGTAGAACAATACTATGTAACTCAGAACAAAAACAATTTTTCATGGTATTCTTAAAAAGATAATCTGTTTCACACCATTTTATTAGATGTTAAAGGATCACAGTAATTTCTTCAAAAGCAGAGCATTCTCTATGAGGAGAAATTAAATTAAATCTCCTGACATTCAATAGTAAGTATCACATCCCAACATCCATCATTTACCTCAGCGACTTCAGTGATGAGCACTCCAACTCCAGTATAGTAAAATGGCAAAAGAATCACAGGGAGGAGAACAAGGGCTAAAATACCCAGGAGTGCCAGGACGAAATTATGCCAGATACCTGAAAATACAAGAAAAGTGCAATAAGCTCAATAAGGGGAAGGAATGACATAGGTAGCTGAAATCCATAGCTCTCGAGCAGTCTGATAACTCAGTAAAGACGCCAGAAGAAGCTGTGAGGCAGAGAGATCCACTTATCAGCACAGCACAAAGACATTCAGTTAGAGGTGAACTTCATTTCACATACTGAAGTCTAAAATGAGCATTTAATAGTCACAAAAATAGTATCTTCTAAATATATCCTCTTTTCAGAAAATGTATATATCATTAAAGCATACTTGTGATCTTTGAAAGAAACTTCAAATACATTCAAATAAAAGTTAAGGTGAAATAAAAAAAAAATTCTTGCTGAACTGTGACATGGAAACCTAAATAGCACTCAGACAAAGAGAATGTTTATATGTTAAGCATTAACCTGCTATGGAGAGTAGTATTGGTGGGATATATATTCATTTACATCACGTCATAGATCATAAAGCAACAAACCATAAAGAAAAAAACCCTAAAATCCATCTGATCAAATCCACCAATCTCATCCAACATATATTCAACCTTTGCAGCCATGCAAAGGAAAACTTTCCCACCTGTAATAATATATAAGTGATCACTCTTCTGTAGGTGAGGTGGTCTTAAATAGCTTGATTTTTACATTTCAGTCTTTTATAATTGCAACTCATTTTATGTATCATGTGATTTACAAATATTCAAATGTTTAGCCAATTATTACTGAGTAATGCATCCTTTTGTCTACCAAATTAATTTTACTTCTTTAAAAAAAGATATATTTATTTATTTGAAAGTCAGAGTTATACAGAGAGAGGAGAGGCAGAGAGAGAAAGAGGTCTTCTATCTGCTGGTTCACTCCCCAATTGGCCACAATGGCTGGAGCTGTGCCGATCCAAAGCCAGGAGCCAGGAGCTTCTTCTGGGTCTCCCACACGGGTGCAGGGGCCCAAGGACTTGGGCCATCCTCTACTGCTTTCCCAGGCCATACCAGAGAGCTAGATCAGAAGTGGAGTGGTCGGGACTTGAACCGGCATCCATATGGGGTACAGGCATTGCAGGCAGCGGCTTCACCTGCTATGCCACACCACCAGCCCCAAAATTTACTTTTAACATACACTACATTTCCATCTATTCATTAGCCTATTTCTGGGTTTTCCATTCTTTTCCAGATTATTTTAGTTAAAGTAAAACAACTGTAATTACTGGTAGTGACAACAGTAAAGTATTTGCTAGTTAAATACTTTGACTTTATTTTATTTATTTTGATTATTTACTTTTTATTCTTTTGGATATATTTGAGAATCATTTTTTAAAAAAATGTATTTATTTGAAAGTCAGAGTTACAGAGAGGTAGAGCCAGAGAGAGAGGTCTTCCATCGCTGGTTCACTAGCCAGATGGCTGGAGCTGTGCTGATCTGAAGCCTGGAACCAGGAGCTTCTTCTGGGTCTCCCACACGGGTGCAGGGGCCCAAGCATATGGGCCATCTTCTATTGCTTTCCCAGGCCATAGCAGAGAGCTAGATAGAAAGTGGAGCAGCTGGGACTCGAACCAGTGTCCATATGGAATGCCAGCACCACAGGCGGCAGCTTAGTCCACTATGCCACAGCGCCAGCTCCAGACAATCATTTTTACAACCACTAAATATTCAAGTTAGGATTTCTACACAATTTCACATTTCTGACACGGGGACATGGCATCTTTCCATTTTACCATTCTTTTACATTTCTCACTAAAGATTTGTTAGCCTTCTCTATTGAGGTCCTATATATTGCTTACAAAATGTTAATTTTTGATTTTTTTTTACCATGTCACATTACTTGCGGAAAGTAATCATTTCTTCTCCTTACATTATCTGGCTGTTTCAAACACACGGGGACAATACACTAATTTTTGAATATTTATTTTGTAATCAACCGCCAAATTGAACTTTCCATTTAGGATTGCTTAGTTTTTAACCTCACCTCTTGGATTTTTAATTATGATCATTTATTTCTTCTAACATTCATACCTCAGTTTCTCCCCTCTTTTGGTCTTTCAGCAGTGGCTAGAATTTCTAAAACAATGTTAAGTAGTTGTGATGGCATGTCTTGTCTTGCTTTCTTCATGATTTTAATATGAGAGTAGTTAAGTAACAGCAGGGCATGGATGGAATTGAGGGTCAATTTTATTGTGGTCTATATACTAACTAGTGAGACTGGTACAAGAGTACAAAAATATGACCACAGGTGATCAAGGGTTTAAGAATGATATCACGGGTCAACCAAGAAGAAAATCTATGGCTACGATTGAGGCAGTAAGTACTAATAGGCTTGAAGCTATTTCTAGTAATTATTATTAGAAGGGCTATGGTTTACAACAAGAAGACTGACTTGTGCTTAGCATAGCTTGGAAACAAAAAAAGAAAACACGACCACCTTAATCCTATAAAGACACAAGAGTGATTTTCAGGTTACTAGATGACTGATCATTTATAGTAGTTATATCTGAAAAACTAAAAATCATCACCTAGGCAAAGCTACAGCTAACTAATCAAAGCATCATTTCTATGGTTACTAAATGTTTTTACTTTACCCCCAATAAATTCAAAACTGATAATAACAACATGGTTCTCAATATTTAAGAAAGTTTTTTTTTAAATTTAATACGGAGCCAGAAAGGACAAATTTTATCTTCATGAGTTAAAGGTTAATTTATCAAGAAAATCTAAAGAATTTCTTAAGGCAATTTACTCTTCACTTAGGATTGGATAACAGATATTGTTTAATCTTCCTCCCAAAAATTCTTCATACATTAATTAAAAATTTAAAGACCTTCACTTACAATGTACTCAAGGAAATATCCCATGTCATTTTCTCTCTTCCTTCCCTATCGAATTTCAGACAAATCACTACCAACTTTTTCTTTTCAAAATCAGCATATAGTTCATTGTTTGAATAACTAGCTATTACATATACAACACTTTAAAGTTGCATTATACAACTAGATTTAAGTATTCTTCATGAGACTAATATAAATGACACCCTGGAAGTGAGACGACATTTTAGAAGAAATGAAATGATATCTTCGTAAGTTTAAAACCAGTAAATTAGGCAGTGGATATATTTGGAAATGTGGCTCTATAAATACATAATTTATGTATATCCCCAAATTCGTGGGGAACACAAAAAAATTTCCCATGCTCTTTTCCAATTTGGTGGCAGCACCAGAGTGAGCTCACAGCTCAGCAAATATTTAGCAAGAAATGAGACACCAGACACTACTCTCTTCTTAGACAATTCCAAATCTTCGCATTTGCCCTCTCTCTTTCAGGGCAAGACAAGCATCTCCTTCCCTTGAACCCCTTGCCTAGGAAACAGGGCAGGGCAAAACCGCTCAATTCTCTACATGGCTGGCCATTCACAGCCGTGAAAGAGAAGGTGATGGGCTGGGTGATGTTCGGACAGCACAACTAGATAATTCTATGCCAATTATTAAGGAGATGTGTGGGCACAATTATTGGTGGTGATATACTTCCTTGGTCTTCCATTTGGACATTATTTAGCAATTATAAAGGTAAAACAAAAAAAATCTTGCTTTCACCCTAACATTAAATGAATTAAAATGTTTAATTGGCTTTAAAAATTACTGAAAAATACATTTTGAATTTAAAAATCCAAACAGTATTGGAGGAACTAATAAAAAGTCACTTTCCTAAGTGTCATTTCTTGACCACTGGTCCCATGAATCACAGTCAACCTACTATTATTTTCTATTTTATCCCACCAGATATTTTCTCTGCCCACACCAACATATATAGGATGATATATATGTAAGTGATAATTTATGCAAGGTATGAAAACAACAAGTTTTTTTTAATAACTTTTAAATAAAACTTAATAGTAATACTTAAGAGTAGCTTTAAAGGATTTTAAAAATGATCATCCATTAAACAAATCATCTCAATAACTGAAAAATGAGTGTGGTGTGTAGTTACAGGTTATGTTTCATGCATGTCTTGAAACATGTACACACAAACACAATAAAAGGCTTTTCAAGATATCGTTTTAAAACTCATTCTCCCCTTAATGTCTTACGTCCTGTCCTATGGTAAAGATAGTTACATGAACCCAGGGGTTCACTTTAAGAACTGTAGGTTGGCAGCTTGAAATTGGCCATGGTGGGAGTGTTTACACCACAGAAACTAGCCAATTGCTAGCATCCCTACCCTCTAGACCCAGTGTTAAAGCTTCACTAGCACACCATTAGATAACCACTCCTTGCACACCTAGTCTTCCCTTTTTCTATTTCAGTTTTTCTCAGGGAATGGAAGTAATGGAGATAACCCTGTCTTACTGGCTGGAATGTAGCTATGATGCAGTTGGACACAGAAGCTGCATGTTGAGAACAGCTAACAAGCAAAGCTCACAAGACACAGCCTGAGTTTTCCCCAAATCACAGGATATTATAATCCACACCGAACTATTTGCATTTGGGATGCTTTATGACAGTTTAGCTGTCAGAGCAGTCAGATACCTAGCTAACACATGTTCCATGCACCATATTTACAATGTAAAGGTTCCTTCTTTTTAAAGTCACTAAATTCCAGACATAACTAAAGCAGTTCTGGTCCAGGACTTGTTGGGTAAACAGTCTATCACATACAGATATATCTTTTAAAAACCCCAGGGGAGCTGGGTGTTTGGCCCAGCTGTTAAGCCGCCAGCTGGGACAGCAGCACCCCCTATCAGAAAGCCTGGGTTTGAGTCCAGGCTCTGCTTCTGATTCCAGATTCTTCCTAATGCACTGAAAGGCAGCAGGTGATGGCTCCCCATGTGGGAGCCCTGGATCAACTTCCTAGTGCCTGGCCCAGCCCTGCCACTGGGAGAATGAGGGGACTCAATCAGCAGACAGGAGCTCTCTCTCAAACAAATAAAAATTTTCAAAATCACCAATAATATGATTTTGCTTTTTATTTATTTTGGAATTTTCCCATATTTATACATATCTATCCCATTTCTTATATGTCACAAATTCATTTTAATTAACATAAATTTATTTATAAAGTTCTCTACCATTGATCATGTAGGTCATTTTAATATTTTCTTACAATGCTGCAATAAACAGCTTTGCTAATATGGTTATGTACCTAATTAAGTCTGCTTCTGGGAGGGTATGGAAAATTACCTAAAAATGGAATCGTTGGGTCAAGACTTGGGCACTGAAATTAACCTCCAATGAAATCTTCCATCTCCTGATTTACTCCTTAGATGGCCGAAACAGTCAGTGTTGGGCCAGGCCAAAGCCAGGAGGCAGGAGTTTCATTTGGGTCTCCCAGATGGGTGCAAGGGCCCAAGTACTTGAGACATCTTCCACTGCTTTCCCAGGAACATTAGCAGGGAGCTGCATCAGAAGTGGAGCAGCCAGGACACAAACAGGTGCCCAAATGGGATGTCGGCAGCATAGGCAGCAGCTTAAACTGCTGAGCCTCAGCAGCAGCCCCTATGTGTATTTCTTTTGTCTGCCAGCTGTGTATTTCTAGACATCGCCTATTGACATCTTGGCTCATTTTTTGACTGGGTTGCTTTTTATTATTTAAAAAAACTTGTTTGTTTATATTATTACTTATAATATATATATTTGGGGAATTGGGTCCTCTGTAACAGGTATTATAATTTTCTATTCCCAGTTTATTTTGCTAGGTTTGTAGTTTCATCTATATAGACATTTAAAATTTTGCGGTGGTTAAATGGCTCCTTTGTGTTAAGTGTTTCAGATAGAAGATATCTATATTTTCTTAAACTGCTTTCATAGCTTCATTAACACAATTAAAACCCCTATAATTCTTTGAGGCACTAGAATTTATTCTGGAGAAACTAATTTAGAATACTGTGTCCACTTGCCACACCCCTACCCACTACTAGTTGCTCGTCACAAAAACAAGGCATGAACGGTTGAGCAGAGGTGGTGTCACTGATTCCTGCACTCCCGGAGTGCTCTCCTATTGCCATTCAGGCATGCAGCTGCTAACAGATCACCCCGTCCAGATTCTGGATCTGCCCACAATGGCCAAGTGGCAATGAGGGTGGTGCAGCACACATATTTCCTGCATCTAAACAACCTCTTTTCCATTAGTGATTTGTTTCTAAGTACACCTCTGGAATCTCTGCTACAGCTTTTACTTTCTCTAGAGCAAGGTTTCTTAACAGTGGCACTACTGCCAATAGTACCCTCCTTTTCTTTATTTTGTAACAGCTATATTTTACACAGGCAAACTACTGTTGTTTTCTTCTTTATAACAAGTATTTTATTTTTGCCTTTTTTGATTACAAAGGATGTACATGTCAGATGTTAAAACTCCATATATGTACAATATCATCTACTGAGCATTACTCTGATGTAACAAAGACATTATTCTAAGCAACAGCATCTGGTAGTATTTATGGGAAAATAAAATGACTAAAATGTTTAAATTGGCAAATACTATTAAATTATCTAATATTCAAAACTCCAAAATTCAAAGCAGCTAAAGGATAGTTATGAAAAAATGTGTTAACATCACAGAATATAACCAAAACTAAAATAGAAAACAAAACTTTCATGGCTTTCTTCCCTCTCTGAGATTATCAATTATATGTCATTTTTAAGAAGGAAAATACATATGTACATATTGTTCATTTTTTTAAAGAAAATATATTGCAGATAAAGTTATCAACCTCCAGAAAAAATATAAAGAATTATTAAGTGTATTCCTAAAAGTATAAACATGAACACCTGAAAAAGATAATAACCAATAAGTCAACTTCACATCTATAAGAAACATGAACATATGAAAAATTTAAGTTAATCTCACATTTATAAGAAAAGTCCCATTTTTAATACAGATGTATAAAGAATTGTCTTTTGATGCAAGGTTCATGAAATCTTCTCTTATTGGGACTAAACTTCATCAAAAACACCATTACAGAATGAGATAAAACATCTTAGCAATATTATCTTATGTAAAGGTTTACTTTAAGAAAAAAAAAAGCTTATGTTTTATTCTTACTATATCAAAACACAACCTTTAGATAAAAAGAATTAATTTTTTAAACTCTTTGTTACAAACAATACAACAACACTATTAGTTCCTAACCACAACTACTGGAAACACTTCCCAAGTTTGAGAATGATCTTGCTTCTTTTCACTGGCTGGCTTTGTTCTTAGCATGCGTTAAGATGTGTGACTTCAGGTTAGTTGACTGAGCGAACTTCTTATTACAGGCATCATAAGGGCAAACAAACGGCTTATCTCCGGTGTGGATTCGCACATGGGTGCGCAAATTGAAATCCAGGGAAAAGCGTTTTCCGCAGCCTTCGAACGTGCACTGAAAGGGCTTCTCTCCAGTGTGAACCAGTTGATGTCGTTTTAGCTTCGAGTTCTCAATAAAAGCTTTGCCGCACTCTGTGCACACGTGGACCCTGGGACCGTGGGTGTGCAGATGTTTTCTCATGGCACAGTTATCCCTGAACATCTTTTCACAGTCTTTATGAGGGCAAGCTACCGTCCTCGAACTACTGTCCTGGGGTTTTCTCGGCTTCATTTTGGCAAATTCGGCAAGCTGTTTGGGGTCTGAGAGGTCAACAACAGGTATTCCTCCAGGAGGAAGTTTCTTCCCTGTGAAGTACTCAGAATAATCAGAACTTGAACCATCACTCTGGCTGCCACCCACCGTACTACACTCCCTTTTACTGCTAGAGGACCACATGGTGACAGAGAACTCACCCTCCAGCGTTTTGATCGGCACCTGCTTCTGCTCCCACTTCTTGCTGCTCCCTGCCGCGGCCTCACTGCTACTGCGAGCTCGGAAGCTGCCCTGCTTTCTGCTTGCCTTCCTGCCGTAGTTGCGGGCCAACGATGGCTCACAGGTCAGGCTCTGCTGAACGTCCTCGGCGCTCCCCTGCACCGGGATGACCCTCTCGTCTCCGTAGTCACTGGTACCCTGCAGGTTGTCTGAGTCGTAACAGCCCACCACTTCCTCTCGGGTCTGCACCATGATCAACTCCTGGTCATGGTCCCCATGGAAGAAGCTGTTGGTGACAAGCGGCTGCAGAGCGATCAGGGGTGGGTGGTAGTGGCCACCGTGAACCCAGCTGCCGCTGACATCTTCGTACACATCGACCGCCTGCACTGGCATAGTAGCCATCGGCACAGTCTCTGACCCGGCCTGGTGTAATTCCACCATCTCTGTAGCAACGCCCGAGTTTTCCGTAGGGTTGTACAAAGCGTTGTACGAGGCCATGGCTCAGCCAAGCAGTTTTGGCCCTCGGCAGCTCGTGAGCGGCTGAAAAGCAGTTAAAACAGGCTGAGCGGAGAGAGCGAACTCTGGAGAGAAGCGGGAGCTCCAGAACGCCGCTGACGGTTGAAGAGGAAGAAGCGGGTGCTTCTGGGAGTGTCCAGCGCGTGTGCGTGGGCAATCCACGCATGCGCTTGTGGCCATTCCGTTAGCGAACGCGCGCGTGCCACGGCCCCTCCTTTTGGTACTCAGTGCACACGCTCAGGCTCGCGCCAGCCCCGAGCGGCCTCGCTCACCTATTGGTTGCCGAGTCTCCAGGCAGTAAACAAGCTCCTTACTGAATTTCTCTATAATTAATTTCAGTCGATTTTCTTGTCTCACTGGGACCACGGATATAACAGTATGTATGGATAAGGGGGGCCCTACTCCTAATATTTATACAGCGTTTTTTTTTTCCTTGTATTTAATCCCGCTGACCCACATTTACAGACCAACATTTAATAATACCAATAATAGTTGATAGCAAGAAATCTCCATTTGTCCTAAGTATCCAAAGGTTTCTACTTTTACTAAGGATTTTTTTAACCATTATTGGATATTGAGTTTTGTTAAATACTGTCTCAACTTCTGAGATGAGGATTTTTTTGGCATATCATGTGTCTGTAGGATGTTTTTTACGGGTAGTATCAGATATATCAGTGACATAATAGATTAAAAAAGACAACGTGGGGCCAGCGCTGTGGCATAGCTGGTAAAGCCGCCGCCTGCAGTGCCGGTCCCAGCTGCTCCTCTTCCTATCCAGCTCTCTGCTATGGGCTGGGAAAGCAGTAGAAGATGGCCCAGGTGCTTGGGCTCCTGCACCCGTGTGGGAGACCGGGAAGAAGCTCCTGGCTCCTGGCTTTGGATCAGCACAGCTCCGGCCGTTGTGGCTAGTTGGGGAGTGAACCAGCAGATGGAAGACCTCTCTCTATATATATATCTGCCTCTGCGTCTCCTCTCTGTTAACTTCGACTTTCAAATAAATAAATCTTAAAAAAAATAAATAAAAGAACATGCCATCCTCAAAATAAAAAAAAAAAAAAGACAACCTGACTTTCTTTTCCATGTGATCTGGAAAGTTTATGCTACACTGGAACTAAAAATAAAAATATTTTAATTGATTAATTTCTCCTATTGCAATTATTTGCCCTATTTAGATTTTTTTCCCCCTCATCTCCTGTGGAGTTAATTTCAGCTATTTTTATTTTCCTACATTTATCCAGCTTTTTGAAAATTTTCTTACAGAGATGAACAAAGAACACTTATAATTATTTAATTTTTTCTGTATCAGTTGTCATTCCTCAATCTAACTGTTGCTTCTGTCTATACATGCTTTTTCCCAGTTTCACCTTTTTATTAATCAAAGAACTCTTAGATTTTCTTTAAGATTTATTTTATTTATTTGAAAGGCAGCATTACAGAATGAGACAGAGAGGTCTTTCATCCACCGGTTCATTCCCCAAATGTCCACAGTGGCAGGGGCTAGGCTAGATCGAAGCCAGGAGCCCAGCATTTTATCCTGGTCTGCTGTATGGGTGGCAGGGGCCAAGTACTTGGGCCATCTTCTAATGCTTTCCCAGATGCATTAGCAGGGAACCGGATCAGAAGTGGAGCAGCTGGGACTTCAACGGTTGCTCACATGGGATGCTGGTGTCGTGAGTGGCAGCTGAATCTGCTGTGTCACAAAACCAGCCCCAGAACTTTCAGATTTAACAGTTCAATGTAGCTTTTCTCTAAAATATTATTTTCTGTGTGATCCTTACTAATTTCATCATTTAACTATTTTATAGTTTTCATATTTTAATTGAGTGCCTAACTGATTGATTTTCATTTCTAAATGCCTAATAATTGCCTAAGGCAGTGACTTTTCCGTTTAGCCAAACTACATATCCCAGAAAAATGATTTTGTTATCATCGTTTTTAAATTTTTATTTTATCATATAATGCTATCATTATACTACAGTTGTGGTTTTGAATTAAATTGATCCAAGTTATCATTAAGATAAATATATAAATTTATTTTTTTAAAATATTTTATTTTATCTGAAAGAGTTACAGAGAGAGAGAGAGAAGGGGAGGCAGAGAGAGAGAGTGGTCTTCCAGCCACTGGTTCACTTCCCAATTGGCTGCAATGGCCGGAGCTATGCCAATCCAAAGCCAGGAATCAGGAGCTTCTTCCAGGTCTCCCATGTGGGTACAGGGGCCCAAGGACTTGGGCCATCTTCTACTGCTGTCCCAGGCCATAGCAGAGAGCTGGATTGAAAGTGGAGCAGCCAGGACTCGAACTGGTGCCCATATGTGATGCTGGCACTGCAGGTGGCGGCTTTACCGGGTATGCCACAGCGCTGACCCCTAAATATATAAATTTCAAGTGAATTTTATCTAGGTTCCTACTCTTATACTTGGGAATTTATTGAGCTTTTCTTTGTGCACTTATAACACGTTCAATTTTTATACGTTTCATTGACACTTGACAAGAAAACTATCTTCTGTATTCCTCATAAAGAATCTGACTTACCTAATTTTACCTTACTGATTAGATTTTTTTATACTTATCTACCATGTGTTAAGAGATGAGTATCTATATTATAGTTCTGTTTTTCCTTGTACTTTTTCTGTTTTTGTTGTGTACTTCGATGGTTACTTGATATAGTAAGATTCACAACTATTACATTTAAACTGTGGCTTGTACTCCTAATTATTAAGTGGTTCCCTATATGTAACCGAGAGCTTTTATGTTCTATTCACATTTGCATGGTGTGTTCTCATCATAATTTTAATTTCAATCTTTTTAAGCAATTTCTTAGATGAATTTCTTTTGTGCATCACAAATTTGCGATGTTTTAAATCCAAACTTAAGGGTATTTCTCTTTAATAGGTGAGCTTATCTCATTTATATTTATTTACAAAATAAATGTGTTTTGATCTTAAGTTTTTTACCTTATTTTATCTTTTGATGTAATTTGTTTTCTGGGGCCAGGACTGTGGCACAGCGGGTAAGGCCACTGCCTGTGGTACTGGCATCCCATCTGGGCACTAGTTCAAGTTCCAGCTGCCCACTTCCAATCCAACTCTCTGCTGTGGCCTGAGAAAGCAGGGGGTGCTTGGGCCCCTGCACCCATGTGGAAGACCTGGAAGAAACTCCTGGCTTCAGCTCAGCCCAGCTCCAGCTGTTGCAGCCATTTAGAGAGTGAACTAGCAGATGGAAGACCTCTCTCCTTCTCTGTTAACTCTGCCTTTCAAATAAACCTTAAAAAAATTTGTTTTCTTTGGTCTGTATTTCATGCTTTCACCCTGATAATTTAAAGAATTTATGTGTTTTTAGATCTTGTAGTGTGTGTTTATAATCTTAAGTGATACACTCAAGTCTCTATTTCTTGATTTAAAACTTTAGGCAGATGCTTTCCACTGTGTAGTTGAGGAAATTAGTACTTGGATTTACAGTTCCCACCTCCAGTTGTTTTTTTATTTTTATTTTTTTGTTAGTTCTCTTATTTTCACAGGTTTTCCCAAGAATTCTAACTCCATGCTTACTTAGCTTCAGTTACTCCTTTTTTTTAAAGAGATGCATGGTTGTGGTGGATTGGATGTGCTTTGTGTCAATTTAGCTCAGATGGAACTCTGTTTATCAGAAATTTCTTTCCTATATAGCCATATATCTCCAAATGATGGTTTCAAATGAACTCTGACACAGCTAGAATTTACCATCCATCCTGGCATATCATTCTTTTTCCATTCCTGAATTCTTTTACCTCTTGATTGATTCTTTGTGTTTCTCCTTGATTTGATGCACTGTATTTTAGCTCAGTTGATATCCTTTGTACTTTGTGGTTTCAGCCTTGTGGCCATTTCTTGGCTTCAGAAAAATGAAGTTTTCCTCTATTATTTTCTATATAAGTTTTTAATAATGTATGTTATTTCAGTTGATTTTAAAGAAGAAACAAATTATTTTCCTGGACTACTTCTGAGGGAGTCTTATAAACTGAATTTACTAACCGAAAGATAACATGTTGTCATTTGTGATATACTTCCTCTAAAACCACTAACCACACACAACAAAACAAAAAAACAAAATCACATATGCACATTAAAAAAATAAATCTGTTACCTGCACAAAATATCCTTAGCTGCTGGACTGGTGATATAAGTTGCAAGTGAGTGGTGAACAGATCAACAAATGCTCCAGGATAAATAATAAAGAGAAAAATTCCAAAGCCATTAAATCGAACTTGTTCCCTAAGAAATCACATAAGAAAAAGGAATTCACTAATATGATTATATCTGTCAAATTACTAATGTATGCAATCTTAAAACTTCTCATTATAAATCAAATTCTTACTTACAAAAGAAAAAAGTCACTCTGGACAGCAAAATAAAAAACATTGTGTCTACATTATGCATACTCAGAATTTTATAAAATAGTGAACAGATTTGGTTGCCTGTGAAAATGAAGTTTATAAAATAGAGCATTCTGAAATAGATTTACAACTTCAAAAGTTTTAAAACCAATATGCCAAGCAAATTGAAATTAGTCACATATATAAAGAAATGCTTAACAATTCTATGAGAAAGTAAATGAAAAACATTTTTATGGTATACTATTAACTATTGTCAGAGTCACAGGAGAACATATAATCTGAGTAAATATCTTAATTCTTACATTTGTCTTAGCTATTATAAACAAAGGTGGTGATTTATCTCAGTGTATTCCTGTTGAGCTAATATTAATATAAATATATTTTTTAAAGATTTATTTATTTATCTGAAAGGCAGAGTTACAGAGAAGGGGTGGGGAAGTCTTCCAACCACTGGTTCACTCCCCAGATGGCCACAATGGCCAGAGATGTGCTGATCCAAAGCCAGGAGCCAGGAGCTTTTTCCGGGTCTCCCATGTGGGTGCAGGGGCCCAAGCACTTGGGCCATCTTCTACTGCTTTCCCAGGCCACAGCAGAGAGCTGGATCAGAAGAGGAGCAGCCAGGACTCAAACCGGCACCCATATGGGTTTTGCAGGTGGCATCTTTACCCAGTACGCCACAGTGCTGGCCCCCATAAATACATTCTTAAAAGGACAATGTTCAAATTGTCCTTATGAGAAATATGTTCATCATTTCATTTTCTACAAATGGATATATTTAATACTTTCATAAGAGGAAACAGGTACTCTAGAAAAAGCATCAGTTAAATATATTGTGCTGTCATTTAATACTAAAAATTTATGATAACTGTATAATTCATTGTTGGTAATCAGGATTTTATAAAAAATTGTCCATTATTTCACATATTGTGAATTAGTAAACTTAATAATGATGCTTCTCTATATAAAACCTAAAGGCTGCAAAGCTAAAAATCTGAAAGCAAAGGTGAAAAAGGTGGCCAATGCTGTGGCACAGCGGGTTAAAGCCCAGCCTGTGGTGCTGGCATCTCATATGGCTGTTGGTTCTAGTCCCGGCTGCTCCACTTCTGATCCAGCTCTCTGCTATGGCCTGGGAAAGCAGTAGAGGATGGCCCAAGTCCTTGAGCCCCTGCACCCACTTGGGAGACTCAAAAGAAGCTCCTGACTTGGGATCAGCTCAGCTCCGGCCATTGCAGCCATTTGGGGAGTGAACCAGTACATGGAAGATCTCTCTCTCTGTCTCTACCTCTCTCTGTAACCCTTTCAAATAAATAAAATTAAAAAAAATTTAAAAAAGATGAAAAAGATAAAAATGTTGTTGTCCTTTTAAGCTACTATTGCCCACATATGTGTAACAGTAGATCATCTGTCAAGTTAAAGGTTTATTAAGGGCCAAAAACTCTTGTTCATAAGCAATGGAAGTAACAAGAAGTGATTACATTTTCTTTAAAACAGTGGTTCTTAAACTTTTCTCTGTTCCATATACACAAAGGCTAAAACATTTCCATCAGCACACCTGCTGATTATGGCAGTAATTATCACTGGCAGTGGCGAGGGGAGTTGTGACATGCACTTTTCTCATCACAATTTTTAAATGTAGAAGGCCTTTAAAAGCTCAGGTATAATTATGATGACACACTGACGTCGCAGGTCTTACTCTCTTTTCTTCCACTTGAATTTCTAGATAGGCTTTGATATTTCTTAATCCTAGAGCTTTCAATTTTCTTCCTCTAACTAGCACAGGACAAGAGCAGAAGCAGGAAATTATTTCAACTGATAAGCCAAAGAAAGGACTGATAGGTAGGTTCAGAGCAGTGGTTATCATTCCGACCCAAGGATAAAGATTAGCTTTCGGGATTAGATGAAAAACCTTGAGATAACCATGCTGGCAAAAGGCAAAGGACAGAAAGGTCCACATTATAGATATGCACATGGTTAATTGAGCAGATTTTTGAACATAGTAACTTTTACTATAAAAGAGAAGCTGCTTCAAGTAACAAATGATGGATATACACTGGGTAATATCCACACAAAGAAAATAGTGAAGTATCTGGCTGGCGCCGCGGCTCAATAGGCTAATCCTCCACCTAGCAGCGCCGGCACACCGGGTTCTAGTCCTGGTCGGGGTGCCAGATTCTGTCCCAGTTGCCCCTCTTCCAGGCCAGCTCTCTGCTGTGGCCAGGGAGTGCAGTGGAGGATGGCCCAAGTGCTTGGGCCCTGCACCCCATGGGAGACCAGGAGAAGCACCTGGCTCCTGCCATTGGATCAGCGTGGTGCGCCAGCTGTGGCGGCCATTGGAGGGTGAACCAACGGCAAAGGAAGACCTTTCTCTCTGTCTCTCTCTCTCACTATCCACTCTGCCTGTCAAAAAAAAAAAATAGTGAAGTATCAAATGAAGCAGATTTTACTAATAAATCTTCCTAAATTAAAAGCTTCTTTGCATGTAGTTGAAAGAAAAAACTATTGTTACCTAATAGCTGCTATCCCGTGTCCAATTTCATGTACAACACCACTAATGAGGACTGCAGCAAAGAAATACGTCAGCTGATTGACTGGCAAATTTATACCAGGAACCTGTTCAAAGACACAATATAGCAGTAATTATCAGTGGAGGTGAAAGGGAACCCTACTTGGGCACCAAGAGACATGATTTTTACTAAATGTTAGAACTTAAAATCCCAAAGATTGTTTTATAAACTAAAAGTAACATGAACATCAAGGTTAACTTCTTTACTTCTATCATAATAAAAAGCAAAAATAGCAATGAGTTTTTTGAACCAGGTAGTTTCTATGGATCAGCTACACCACCAATGGAAAGAGAGTAAGAAACACTACATGAAAAACTGCAAACTCTACTTCCTGAAATCTTCATCATGGGAAACAATGAGGAAGCACAGCAAAGTGCCAAGGAATAAAAGGTGGCAGTTACAGACTGAATCCCCAGTTTGGGAATTCTCGTTCAAATTCCGTCTTTCTTCTGAACTGTTACTGCAAGGTTCCAATTACTTACGTTATTAGGGACCCTCCCTTCCCAAATTAGAGAGTTTCCTTTAATATTCTCAAGTTATAATGGAGAGTTGGTGATGAAAGCTAGCGCGATCAAAAGCCTGATCAGTTGAGAGCACCATGCCCTTCATTCTATCCTACTACAATGGTCAGAAAAATAGTATCAGAGATACACAAATACTATATTAAAACTAAAGTTTAGTGTGGAAATTAAGGCACTCGGAACACACAGACATGTTAACAGACATAAGAAGCAGTACTTGTCCTGCAATCATGTGCTCCTAAAACACTGCATGCGTATATATCATTGCATTGCTGCACAAGACAATAATTTCTGATAGCCAAGAGTCTTCTACTAAGATAAACAATCACTCCCAAGTAAAGCCACCTGTTGAGGGGAAATTCTGTAAATTAGGCTAGGTGGGGCACACTAGGGCAATGAATACAGCTTATATACTGAGCATCTACTTCTCAGTCCACAGTTGGGACCCAGAAGGTCTGGAGAAAATTACATCTTTATTATATGTTATATTAATTATAAAATATGCTTAAAGCAGTAAAACTAGAAAACTCAAAGAAAAATAGAAGCCTATAACCCTATTCTCCAAACACAGAACAGCAAAAATCTATTTTCAATGCTTTGACACATGTCCTTCTAAGTCTTTTTGCATACATGCATTTCTTAAAAATATACTTTCACTATGTTTTTTTAAACTTGCTGTCACTTAACAGTACCATAAATATTTTCCCATGAGCATTTTCTAAAGTTTATTTATTTTTATTTATTTGAAAGGCAGAGCTACATAGAGAGATAGACATTTGTGAGTTCACTCCCTTAAAGTCCATAACAATCAGGACTTGGCCATGCTGAAGCCAGGAGCCGGAATTCCATCCACGTCTCCCACATGGGTGAAAGCGACCCAAGTACTTAAGTCATCATCTGCTGTCCCCCAGGGTGCGCGTAGCAGGCACCTGGATCAGAGGTGGAAGCAGGACTCAACCCCAGGCACTCTGATAGGGAATGCAGTTGTCCCAAGAGGGGGCTTAACCTGCTGTAACTCAACACCTGCCCCAGTATTTTCTGATTCCATATGATTTGCAACACCCACATTATATTCTATTGGATGAACTGTTGGGCATTTAGTAGTCTAAAAATTTCTGCTCTTATACACAAATACTCAAATATTTTGGGGTATAATTTCTTAGCTGAGCAAGTTGTTAAGGGCTCACGTTCTGAGGACTTATTATTTTGTTTGAGGTCCTGACATCATCACCAACTACCTAAATAACCTTGAGGAAGCGGACATTATTTCACCAACACTTCAGGTTCTTCATCGTTAAAATAGAAAGAACCACATCTGCATACAAGGTAATTTTCAGCCTTAATTCAGCTGATCTTTGCTAAATGCTTAACATTATGCATCTGAAACAGTTTAACAGATGCTATTACAACACATAATTTAAAAGATTTTGATATATTTAACCAAGCTGCTCTTCAAAAGCAGGTCCTTCCATAATATTGGGCAAGATTATTTTATTCAAATCTGAAATTTGGTTTACATATTTTGGTCATTAGTAAAGCTGAACTTTCTCCTGATTTTTCACCATTGGTCTTTTGGGAGTTGCCTATTCATGACTTAGTTTGTCTTCTAAAGTATCCATCTTTTTCTTACTGATCTGTAAGGTCACTTTCAAATATTAGTATTGGTCCTTTGTAATACACGTCACAAATGTACTCCCCAGTTTGTCTTTTAATTTTATTTTGCTCATGATTTTTACTAGATAAGAATTTTTAGGCAATAGTATCTACTAATATTCCATTCCTCCAATGCCAAGCATGAACTCTTAACATAAACTAGGGACTCTGGATGACACATTAGTGTAGGCTCCTCAGCTGTACAGAATAGACAGACCACTCTGGTGGGGGGATGTTGATAAAGAAGGAGGCTATGCATGAGTGGAGGTATGAGACATATGGCAAACCTCTGTACCTTTCTCTCAGTTCTACTGTGAAACTAAATCTGATCTAAAAAAATAAGATTTTTAAAGAATCAAATCTTAATAAAGGTGCCACTGTTACAGTCATAATAAGTTCATGGTTTGACAGATTTATGTTTTTGTCATTCTGTGCTCACAGAAACAATAACCAGTTTTTTTCTTCTATCAAGATCATCTATGATTTAAAGTTTTAATTCTAATTCACTTGGAATTTATTTTTGTACAAAACGAATTTCACTTTTTAAGCCTCATTTAGTAACCAAAGAGGAGATTTAAATATGCTGCTTGAATCATTTTTTAAATTCTATTAATTCCAAGTGTCCTTAAACTAGTTTTCATAATAATCATCTTTATTTATTTTTATTTTTAATTAATTTATTTGAAAGTCAGAGTTACACAGAGAAAGAAGGAGAGGCAGAGGGGGGGGAGGTCTTCCATCCGCTGCTTCACTCCCCAGTTGGCCACAACGGCCGGACCTGTGCTGATCAAAGCCAGGAGCCAGGAGCTTCCTCCCAGTTTCCCGCGTGGGTACAGGGGTCCAAGGACTTGGGCCATCTTCTACTGCTTTCCCAGGCCATAGCAGAGAGCTGGATCGGAAGTGAGCAGCAGGAACTAGCACCGGCGCCCATATGGGATGCCAGCACTGCAGGCGGCAGCTTCACCTGCCATGCCACAGCACCGGCCTCTATTTATTTATTTTTAAAGATATATATATATATATATATATATTTATTTATCTGAAAGGCAGAGTTACAGCAAGAGAGGGAGAAATACAGAGATTTTCCATCTCTCGGTTCACTCCCCAAATGACCACAACAGCCAGGATTGGGCCAGGACTGGGCCAGGCCAAAGCCAGGAGCCTAGAACTCCAGCCATGTCTCCCATGTGGGTGGAAGGGGCCCAAGGACATGGGCCATCCTTTGCTGCTTTCCCAGGTAGCAAAGGAAGCCAATCAGCTAGGTCTTGAATGGGCACCCATATGGGATCCCAGTGCTGTAGCAGTTAGCTTAACCCACTGCGCCACAACACCAGCCCTAACATAATCTTCATTTTTAAATGGATGCATAATATGTCATTAAATGACACACCAATAATTTAATCATCCTACAATTAGATATTTTGGTTGTTTCTAATTCTTCATAATAATAAATAATATTAGGCTAAAGAGCTTGATGAACAAAATTTTGCCACTATATTTAGAAATATTTCCTTAAGCTAGAGTTCCAGTGCAGGAGTATAAAAAGATATGGACATCTTTATAATATTAATTATCTGCAATTCTCTTTTTTCATACCCTACTGAGTAACTTTTTTTAATGTGTATCAGTGTCCCTTTTTCTACAAACCTGCTCCATTCTCATGTTGTCAGGTATCTGCCTGCATAGTACAGTAGTTCTCTTTCCTCTGACTACTCTAAATTTAAATACTTAAGATTAATCTCATATATACTCACTAGATTACTAAATATCCTGTTGACCTTACATCTATTAAAAAAAAAATCAGTAAGCAAGGGGCTGGCATTGGGACCTAACAGGTTAAGCCACTGGCTGCAATGCTGCCATCCCATATGGATGCAGGTTTGAGTCCTGGCTGCTCTACTTCCGATCCAGCTCCTGCTAATGCGCCTGGGAAATCAGTAGAGGATGGCCTAGCAGATGCTTGGGCCCCTGTACCCACATGAGAGATCCAGAAGAGGCTCCTGGCTCCTGGCTTTGGCCTTGCCCAGCCCTAGCCATTGCAGCCATTTGGGGAAAAGAACTAGCAGATGAAAGATACCTCTCTTTCTCTCTCTGTAACTCTTTCTAATAAATAAAATAAATCTTTTTAAAAAAGCACTAAGGGTGGGCTGGCACTGTGGCATAGCGGGTAAAGCCACCGCCTGCAGTGCCAGCATCCCATAGGGGCACCAGTTCAAGTGCCAGCTGCTCCACTTATTTTTTTTTTTTCTTTTTGAAAGGCAGACTTAGACATTGAGAGAGAGAAACAGAGAGAAAGGTCTTCCTTCCGTTGGTTCACCCCCAAAATGGCCACTATGGCCGGTGCGCTGCGCCGATCCGAAGGCAGGAGCCAGGTGCTTCCTCCTGGTCTCCCATGTGGGTGCAGGGCCCAAGCCCTTGGGCCATCCTCCACTGCCTTCCCCGGCCACAGCAGAGAGCTGGACTGGAAGAAGAGCAACAGGAACAGAATCCGGTGCCCCAACAGGGACTAGAACCCACAGGGGGAGGATTAGCCAAGTGAGCCACGGCGCTGGTTCCAGCTGCTCCACTTCTGATGCAGCTCTCTACTATGGCCTGTGAAAGCAATGGAAGATGGCCCAAGTCCTTGGGCCCCTGCACCCACGTAGGAGACCTGGAGGATGCTCCTGGCTCCTGGCTTTGATTCAGCCCAGCTCTGGCTGTTGCAGCCATCTGGGTAGTGAACCAGTGGATGGAAGACCTCTCTCTCTCTCTGCCTATCTGTAAATCTGCCTTTCAAATAAACAATCTTTATAAAAAAATCAGTAAGGGGCGGTGCTGTGGCGCAGAGGGTTAAAGCCCCAGCCTGCAGCATCAGCATCCCATATGGGTGCTAGTTCAAATCCTGGCTGCCCCACTTCTGATCCTGCTCTCTACTATGGCCTGGGAAAGCAGTAGAAGATGGTCCAAGTCTTTGGGCCCCTGCACCTGCATGGGAGACTCGGAAGAAGCTCCTGTTTCCTGGCTTCAGATCAGCTCAGTCTGTTCGTTGGGGTCATTTGGGGAGTGAACCAGCAGAGAGAACTTTCTCTCTCTCTGGCTCTACCTCTCTCTATAACTCTTTCAAATAAATAAAATAAATCTTAAAAAAATTAGTAAGCTTAATCAAATAGGATAATTGTTCCTTCTTATTATTTTCTGGATGTAAGAATAACTGAGATAATGTATGACTACATTAACAGATGGCAGGTTTTATTTGCTGGCAACAGTACATGATTGCCTGTCTTTGCCATGATGACACAGGGTATTAGATGTACCGGAAAACTAGACACAGAATACTCTAACAACACTGAGTGCCAGGATTTGGGGAATTACTACTGAACAAGGCTGTAGGGAATTACAGAGTAAACGGAAAGTATGTTCTGTAACCTACAAGAGTTCATATCGAAGTCAGGAGATACAACCTTCTTAACTTTATGCATAAATAGTGCACCGAAAAAGGCAGTTGACTTCTTAATAGTTCCAAAGCACAGCTCTCCTAATAGAGTCATTCTTGTGAATTAACTGAGATGCAAAGAAGAAATACGTTCTTCTCTAAACAGTATCTTGCCATTCTAATTTGAGCAGGTAGATAAGAAAATGATCGTATTTTTTTTCCCAACAAGCTTCTTTATCTCCTACCCTCTTTTGTGGTGAACAATAAGCAACCATGTAACTTCAGCATCATCCTAAACTCTTCCTTCAGCCTCACATTTAATTACTCACCAAGGTCTGAGAACTCCACTTGACTCTATCCCGCTTCATTCTCCTTGCTACTAATTTAGTTTAAATCATTATCCCTTTTTACACAAACTACTCCAACTGCCCTCTTTTTTTTTTTTTGACAGGCAGAGTGGACAGTGAGACAGAGACAGAGAGGAAGAGAGGAAGGTCTTCCTTTGCTGTTGGTTCACCCTTCAATGGCCGCCGTGGCCGGCGCGCTGCGGCCGGCGCACCGCGCTGATCCAAAGCCAGGAGCCAGGTACTTCTCCTGGTCTCCCATGGGGTGCAGGGCCCAAGCACTTGGGCCATCCTCCACTGCACTCCCTGGCCACAGCAGAGAGCTGGCCTGGAAGAGGGGCAACCAGGACAGAATCCGGCGCCCCGACCGGGACTAGAACCTGGTGTGCCAGCGCCGCAAGGCGGAAGATTAGCCTAGTGAGCCGTGGCGTTGGCCCCAACTGCCCTCTTAAATGGTCTCCCTATCTTTGATCTGACCAAGCTGGTTCATTTTGCACAGACCTGTTACCTATAAGCACAACTGCAAGTGCTTAGAATGACCTTTCACAAATTAGACCCTACTTACTATTTCCCACTGTCCTGTTCTCTTGCTGCCACTCCTATCCATCCTTCTACCATGTATCTCAGAGACACAGCTCAACAATATTTACAGTTCCTTGAAGAATTATTTGTCTTTTCTTAGGAGAAGAGCACAGTGTATACAGGCTCTGGTCAGTGATATGGATTCACTACTTACTAGCTGACCACAAGTAACTTAATGTCTCTGTGCCGATTTTCTCATCTGTAAGTCAGGGATAACATCAATATTTACCTTGGGGTTGTTGCAAGAATAAAACAGGCTGGGCAGGAAAGACTTTACGTAAGAAGCGCTGTGTATTAACTAGGTTTTATTATTACTCTGATTATTCCTTCCACCTTCCCATGTTCTATTGTTCCCTCTATCACTGGGATGCTCAATTTCCATCATCCATTCTCAAGCTATGTGAACTCTTCAATCCTTCCGTTGGAGCTCTCCTTTATGCTCTTCCCAGTGCCAGGCACACCTCACATCCTTCCCTCTGTTTCTCCGGCACTTTGTACAATGTCCCATTGGAGTACAGCCACGACTGTTCTCTTTCTAAACTAAAAGCTTCACGAGTACTAGGATTGGGTTTTGTTCCTCATATAAGGAGGATCCAGCACATGGCTGAGAGTTATAATACACTCAGTAAATGTTTGCTGAAGAAATAAATCATCTCTTCTGAGGCCTCACTTGATGAAATCATTTAACCTCTAAGAAGGAACTATGACCACAGGAGAGATTCTTTATTGTTCTCTACAAATGAATTCTAATTCTACCCACGGGGACCCAGCCTGAGGCCACAATGAGATGATTTAAAAACCCAAATTTGGGGCAAGTGTTGTGGCATAGTGGGTAAAGCTGCTCCTGCAATGCCGGTATCCCATATGGGCACTGGTTTGAGTCTCAGCTGCTCCACTTCCAATCCAGCTCCCTGCTAATGCACCTGGGAAAGCAGTGGAAGATGGCCCAAGTACTTGAGCCACTGCACCCACATGGGAGACTTGGAAGAAGCTCCTGGCTCCTGGCTTCGGAATGGCTCAGCTCCGGCCGTTGCGGCCATTCAGGGAGTGAACCAGGAGATGGAAGATATTTCTCTGTCTCTCCCCTTCTTTCCCCCTCTCTCTGTAACTCTGCCTTTCAAATAAATAATTAAATCTTTAAAAAACCCAAAATCTGTTACTAACCACTAAGCAGTCTATTCCATTAATAAGAACACGATTAAAAACAACACCTATGACTCACGGAAATATGAGCTCTAAGTGTAAAAATGTGAAATAACAGTGAGCCATTGTAAAGCACCTTCCAAACTCTGGAGACAGGAAACAAGTGAGAATTACCCTAATGGCTTTTATTTGTCACATCAAGAAATTACAATTACTACTTAGAAAATTCTCATATCTTTAATTAAAAGATTACTGGTTAGACTGTGATAGCCATAAAGGAGGAAAGGGGAACACTTTGCATAGGATTAAATCAGAAATCAGCATGCTTATTCCTTGAAAGTAACAATCCCTTAATGTCTTAAGCAGACAACATGAATTAAATATCTGTTAATTGCTGATGGTCTTAATGGTGGTGCAAGTGTTCCCTGCTATGAGTAATTCCACCACCAAACATTACAAAAATTCCTAGCTAGGTTCTTACTAAGGGTTTTTGTTTAAGTAGGCAATTTGAAAACTTTTGAGGTTTTAAATTTAGCTTGAAATTTATAGCATGGATAAGAGTTATACTAGTCATAAGTAAGATCTTGTATCTGCATTTCAACAGTTATTAAAGCAAAAAGAAGGCACTTACCACAACTTGTAACACCTGTTCATTGTGAAGAGATGAGGAGGAGGAAGAGGAAGAGGATGAAGAAGAGGAAGCAGAAGAGGAAGAGGAGGAAGAGGAAGAGGAGGAAGAATAAGAAGAGGGAGAGTCAGCCATCATTTGTGCTAAAGTCTGCATCAGTGTTTTGCCAAGGAGAAAAAAAGAGCTAAACATGGCAATTACACCAAATACCATTCCAAAATTGAACCTGTAAAGAGAACAAAATTACATAAATGTACAATTCCTCACAGTTCATGCACCAAGACATTTATTGTCAAGCCACATTTCACAGCTTCAAAGCAATGGCTAAAAAATTTCACTAACTGCCTCTTTTCCTACCCAAACTTCAAATACTTGACTAAAGCATGGGTACCAGTTTCTTGAAGCAGTTCTGATAATTTACAATTCTCTGGCAGCTAAAGAGATTGAAAAAAGTGTTTCTTTTCATGTATTTGCTCACTTGCATAACATTGTACTGATCTTGTTCTCATATGGCTATGAAAGCTTTTTTGATACCAGCTATCCTTTTATATCTTTCTATTTGATTGTCTACACTGTGTTTTAGATTTATTTTGTGATGAGTTTAAATAATAATGTGGTAAAATTTAATGGAATTTTTTGTCTTCTATAGTACAAGAGTTAGAAATTACCTTTATATAGTTGGGAATAACCTTTTATTTTTTTCTAACTTTTTGATAAGATATTTTTCAAGGAATTTGTCCATTTCATCTAATTTTTCAAATTTATATGACTATTGGGATTATCTATAAACTCTGTAGTAATATCCCCAATGCTGATTTTTAGTTACCAGAATTTTCTTTTTTTCTTGATCAGTCATGGAATGGGCTTACCAATTTTAGTAATTTTTCAAAGAACCAACTTTTGACCTAGCAGATTTTCTCCACTGTACACATTCTATTTCACTGATTTCTACTCTTTATCATTTCCTTCCTTCCACTTTGTATTACTTTGGTTTTCTGTTTCATTTTCTACTCTTTGATGATTCGATTGCTTAGCTCTAATCAGTTTAGAGTTAAATTTTTAATCAAGAGGAACTTAGACAACACCAACCCCCTAACCTCCCGTTCTCTCAACTACAGAATCTGTCAATATCTTGGGGGGGGGGTCTCATAGATCACTGTAAACCCCCAAAGCATAAAACACTGTAAGTGCCTTGATTTGAATGTATGCAAAAAGCACAATGACATCACCCCAAAAGTTTGTGTAATAGCAGAATGCTTTCATGCTAGCAATATTTCACAATTCAGTAGATTGGAAAAGGACAGAAATCATTAACTTAACGAGCTAAGTCTCATGATCACAAATGGCTAATTTAAACCAAAATGGGAAAATAAGGAATACCATTGGTAAAGCATTCGCGCTTTCCGTCGTCCCCAACTGTAAAAGGCACGATTGAAAACAGCAGTTTGCCATCTTATGTGAAAAGGGGAGATGCTCAATCCATTGTTTTCCAGCCAGTCTTCATAAGAATGCTTAAAATAGACAGATGACTAAGAGAGAAAGAAAAGTTCCACATTATTCAATTTTTAAGAACAATTTATAACGTGTAAGAAAAAAGTATTCAGCAAATCAACTTGCTGTTTACATGTTTATAATCTTAAAGCTTTATCTTCAGAATATTAAAGCTCTCAGACTAGGGGGTCACTGAGGATATGGTCTGGCAAACTTTAGCCTATAAGATAAATCTAAATCTGGCCTACAGCCTGTGAGCTAAGAATAGTTCTTATATTTTTAAGGAACTATAAAACAAAACAACCAGACCCTGTGTGACCCACAAAGCTTTAAATAGTATCTTCTCCTTTACAAAAAAGTGTGCTGACCCTTGCTTAGAACAGCATTACCCAACAGAAACATGTGAGCCACAATTAATTCTAAATTGTTGAGTAGCCAAATTTTAAAAAGCAGAAATAGGATATTAATTTTCATCATCTTTTAACTCAAAATATCCAGAGTGTCATTCCAACATGTAATTAATATGAACACTTTTTTCTTTTTTTTTTCTTTTTGACAGGCAGAGTTAGACAGTGAGAGAGGGAGAGAGACAGAGAGAAAGGTCTTCCTTCTGTTGGTTCACCCCCCAAATGGCTGCTACGGCTGGCACGCCGCACTGATCCGAAGCCAGGAGCCAAGTGCTTCCTCCTGGTCTCCCATGTGGGTGCAGAGCCCAAGCACTTGGGCCATCCTCCACTGCCTTCCCAGGCCACAGCAGAGATCTGGAAGAGGAGCAACGGGGACAGAATCCGGTGCCCCAACCGGGACTAGAACTCGGAGTACTGGCACCGCAGGTGGAGGATTAGCCTAGTGAGCACATTTTGGAAACATTTTCCTTAGGGGGGTATTCTTTGTAATCTTGTGTCAACTTTACACTTAGAGCACTTCTCAATTTGGACTAGCTCTATTTCAAACGCTAATTTAGCTCATAGCTATCACACTGGACAGCACAGGACTGGAAGCCTTTTTACCATACAAAATATAGGTCTTGCATTCTTACTTAAAGACATTCCCTCTTACCCAAGTAATCCAACAGAAAGGACAAGTTAGTCAAAATTAGGGCTTCCTATCTTCTGAGCAAGAGCCCTAAGAAATCAGGCCAATTTTCATGATACAAGTGTCCCTATCTTAAACCTATCGTGGTCTCAGTAAGTCCTCTTATCTGAGGTTGGAGGGATAGGTGTTTATATACAACCAAAAAGTTTTACCTTTAGGGTAGGGAAGTTTGTTTCACTAATGAAGAATTTCGGGTAACATAAGGCTGTTATGTACCTGACACAGTTACAGTAAGCAGAGTAAATATTCTGTTATATTGACAATCATCCATGTGAGAAACTTTTCTGTCCTGGAAGCATAGTCCAGCCCTAACACAACCATAAAAAATGACCAGAGTCTGAATACAGGTATTTCTTTGCTTTAGATCTGTAAAGTTCTCTACCCTCAGTCTTTGGGTGGTTTTTCAAACCAGCTTGTTACCCAGGACTTGGAAAAAGAAAGTGACACAATACTTTCACAGAGGTCTACTGTGGTAATATTACAAAACTATGGGTGGACTAGTGGACCGAACTGGAAGCAGAGAATCTGAAGGTGCAGGCTCCTAGAAACTGGAGTCTCTCAATTCCCCTGGCTGATAATGTGAGCGTTCTATCTTTTGCTTGGGGGGATAGTACTTTCTAAAGGACCCGAGACCTGTGACTGACATTAAACTGACATCCTGATCACCTCACATACTTGGCCAGGCACTGTAGAGATCTGAAAAGTTCTTGTTATTTTGGATTTTTAGTCACATGTGCAACATTAAGAAATCATGTGGCTTTTCTTTTCCAAATAACAAAATCACTGTGGCCTATACTGTTTAGGACACGCTAAGCACTATGCCAAGTACTTGACATCAGTGCTTCTCAAACACAAAGGTTCACAGGAGTCACCTGGGGCCATCAAGATGCATCTGCTATCACGCCTGTTCTGATTCTGCAGGTCTGGGTGCAGCCAAGATTCTGCATTTCTATCAAGCTCCTGGATGTTGCAGGTGCTACTGGTCCTTGAGCCTAAGGCTGAGTAGTGAGCCTTTATGTGGATGCACTAATGTAATCCTTCTATCATCTCAGGAGCTTCTTACTCTTATTATCCCTATTTAAAGACGAGAAACCATGGTAAAGATAGTAATTTGTCCATGGGCACACCAATTAGGAAGTGGCAGAGCCCAACCTGTGCAACCTGCTGCACTTTGCAAGTTTAAATCTAACAAAAAAGCACGTCTCATTTCTTTTTATTGTTAAATCCAAAACACAAAATACTATGGTATTCTATTCATGACTGGAGTTTATATTCTACATTTGAGAATTTATATAATCTTATTTCACAAGACTACTTCCAGTCTCCTCAATATTCAATCCAAATTGTGGCTTAAGCATGTGGTGAGACAACTGTTGCTAATTTTTTGCTATCCTTCTCAGATAATTGAAACATGTACCCTGAATCCAAGGTGTGTATAGTTGGTGCAAAGAAAGGGTACAGCGTGCAAACCAGTATTTCAGCACAGGTTCCTGGAGCGTGCTTTGAAAGATGATCTGTGGACCAGCAGCGTTGTTAGCACTGGAGAACTGGTTAGCTATGCAGAACCTTGCCCCAGAACTGCTGAATCAGAATTTACAATTTAACCGGAAGGCTGCATGGTTGTATGCCCTTTAAACAATGCGACCACTGGATCTAAATCACGACTTGATTTGGATTCATCCCAGTACCAGAATGTCTAGAGTAGGGACCTCAGAAACAACGCCTTCCCTAAATAGACGTTTTATTTCCTTCCTGGTGCACTGCTGCCGCAGGGTCTGACCCTCCCGAGCCCACCACCGACGCCTCCCAGGTAGGATTCGAGGCCTGCACTGTCCCGCACTGCGAAAGCGACAGCCGCGCAGGCTGCCACACCCCTCCCGCAGCCAGCCGTGCTTTATTTACTCCACCGGGCCGAGGCGCCCCGCGGAAGGCCGCACGTGGGCACCGGCCGCGCGGCTCCCAGCCAGGCGGCGCAAAGCAAGAGAAAAGGAGGCCCTTGCACTCTGGCCCTGGGCACCGGGGCTTGGGCCTTAGGCCTGAGGCCCTCACCTTCAGCACCAAGTCGGTCAGGTACACTGCAGTCCAGCCACCCACCACCACCACCACCAGCGACACTGGAATCATGGCGGCGGCGGCAGCAGAGGAGGGAAGGCGAACCCTGGTGTCCTCCTCCCTGCGAGCCGCAAGCAGCCGAACGCACGGCGCCTTACAGTCCCAGCATCCGTGCAGGAACCTAGCCGCTGCCGGTTCCTTTTCCGCGGTGGCGACGTTTCTCTCCGAACTCTTCCGGTGGGACACGGGTGGGAACTGCGAAAACCGGAAGATAGCGTGGGGACTTGTTTTCGTGTGACGCTCAGGCGCCGCCGTCCCAGCAGCAGCTGGATCTCCGTTCTCAGCCCTCTAGCGATTTCTTAGACTTTGGCCCTCCCTGCTGTCAGTTCTCCATTTTCGCGGACTCTGGTCTGGGCTTTGCTGTCTTTTAACCTAGCGAGGGTTTGGGGTTATATGAAGTCCTCGACCCCGTCTTAGGTATCCAGATTTAAGTTAATTATCTTTTTTCCTTTGTAGTGAAACGTAATTTCTACGAGTATAGCGACATCCTACCTACAGGTCTCAATCGTCCGTTTCTGTGAGTTTTAATAATGTATATATCTGTGTGCCCTAATCAAAATAGCGAACATTTCCATTTCAGGAATTTCCTGATTTTTTAACTTTATGCAAATAAAAGCACACAATGAGTACTCTTTGTGTCACACTTACTCTACATAGTTTTGAAACACCCATTTTGATGATCAAGTTCTTTCTCAGCCTCTTTGTGAAATTTGAGATTGGTGCTGCGTTAAAACAGAGAAAGAGTGAAAGAGAAACAGAAAGATTAAGAAAAAAGGGAGAGGGAGAGGGAGGGAGGAAGGAAATCATATATCCTTAGAATTGTATCTAAGAGAGGACGGGGTGGGACGCTGAGGCGCCAGTTGTAGGAGAGGCGCTGACTTGGACTCCTGGGGCCAGCTGGTAGAAGTGATGGTGGAGTATCAGATATTAGCAAGACATCTGCAAAAAGCAGCTCAAGCTCTACACAATAATTCTGAATTCACTGAAGAACAAAAGAAAACCATAGGCAAAACTGCAATAATGTTTGGAATTGCAAAGTGCAGCTTTACAGTCCACACAGTCCCAAGAAGAATTTAAACTGGAGGCCCTGAAGAAGCTAGAATCGATCCTAAAGAATATTCTTACATATAGTAAAGAGTTCCCGTTTGATGTTCAGCCTGTGGCATTAAGAAGAATTTTAGCACCTGCTAAAGACGAGAGTTTGGATTTTTTTTTTTTTTTGACAGGCAGAGTGGACAGTGAGAGAGACAGAGAGAAAGGTCTTCCTTTGCCGTTGGTTCACCCTCCAATGGCCACCATGGCCGGCGCGCTGCAGCCGGCGCACCGCGCTGATCCGATGGCAGGAGCCAGGTGCTTCTCCTGGTCTCCCATGGGGTGCAGGGCCCAAGCACTTGGGCCATCCTCCACTGCACTCCCTGGCCACAGCAGAGAGCTGGCCTGGAAGAGGGGCAACTGGGACAGAATCCGGCACCCCGACCGGGACTAGAACCCGGTGTGCCGGCGCCGCAAGGCGGAGGATTAGCCTACTGAGCCGCCGCGCCGGCGAGTTTGGAATTTGAAGAAGATGAAGAAGAGGGTGGTGCTGGAACAGGGTCTCCTGATTCTTCTCCTGCCAGAGTTCCTGGTACCATATTACCGAGGTTGTCCTCAGACCCAGGGATGACATTACCCACACTCAGAATTGAGAAGAGTGGTCTGAAAGATGCTGGGCAGTGCATGAATCCCTGTGTTACAGTTAGTGTGAAAGATCCGAATGGCATGGAGTTAACTCCTGTGCAGCATACTCCCGTGGCTTCACAAAAAAAGATACATATGTTCACTTTAATGTGGACGTTGAGCTCCAGAAGCATGTTGGAAAATTAACCAAAGGTGCAGCTGTCTTCTTTGAATTCAAACAATGCAAGCCTAAAAAATGGTTTACCAGCACCAAGTGTTTTGCTTTCATGGATATGGATGAAATTAAGCCTGGGCCAATTGTAATAGAGCTATTCAAGAAACCCACTGACTTTAAAAGAAAGAAATTGCAATTATTGACCAAGAAACCACTTTATCTTCATCCACATCAAACTTTGCACAAGGAACAATCCTGACATGAATAACCTGGAACTTCTGTGAATTTTGCCACTTGTTAGAAACCATCACAGCTCTGTGTAGCATATTCACCCTTCAGAAGGCAGAAAGCATACTGGCCCGTGCCAGTAGGCCAGAGGGAGTCCATCGCAAAGCTGTACCACATAATATAAAGTCTAGCACATCATTGATGTAAAAGACTCCTTTGGATACAGGTTTATTGTAGATTTTAAAACATATTTTTACTTTTCTATTGTGCAATTCATAGTCTGTTTTCTAAGTTACCACTACTCCTACGCTGCTTCCTGGAAAAATACTGCTGTGAGTAGGTTTGCTCATCTTCAAACTTAATACAGCAATAAGAATGTGCTAGAGTTCACATACATAGCTGTTCACTTTTGCTCCAATATGCTCTTTTGGTTTGAGTTAACTTCAAACTTTGGGTTGAGGTGGGTAGAATAGTATCAGATACTTTAAGAGAAAATGGACCAGTTATGCTGCCTAAGAAGGTGTGTCTGGAAACGATAGGCTGCTCCTTTGGGGTTGCCTACATTCACCCTGATCTGATCATTTTCTTGCTTAGAAATAGTGTGCCTTGGCCAGATCAGTATCCCGTGTGGGAGTGTTCCCCAGGCTGTAGCTGTGAATTTCTCCAGATGACCAGACTGTTTTTCTGAAAGTAAGCATGCTTTTAATCGTGTTGATTAGCTTTTCTTCTGTATCACGTTGTAATTCTTTCTGATGATTCTAGGGTTAACATTGGAACCATCTCAGAATTAACAAATGTTTAGGTGGGTTCACTATGTCTTCCAAATCATGTTACCTAAAAATAGCTGAGTCAGATGCTACCAAGATGTTGCAGGAACAACTGCTGTTCTTCTGACAACTGTGAAACCTTAAAACCTGCATAGCTCTTCTTATAGTGATGAGTGTGCAAAATATGGAAAGATATTCTATTTTTTTAAATCTAGGTAGATAGGATTGCCATTTATTTACTATTTAGATATATTGGAATTCATCCATATGAGAATATGCAGGTCATTAGCTTATTATAATTTGACTATTTCTATTACTTTTGACCTAATGGGGCATAAATAAAATTTTCATAGTACACATGAGGTGGATATTTGATACACAGAACATTAAAATTTGTGATGGGCTCCTGTGGGTTAGATGTAGAACGCGCATATTTTAATATTCACTATTTTAATGAACAATGCATGAGGGGGAAGCAATTTCAGTACTTGTCCTATTATTTTTAAAGCTTTATTTATTTATTTGAAAAAGTTACACAGAGAGAGAAGGAGAAGCAGAGAGAGAGAGAGAGAGGTCTTCCATCCACTGGGTCACTCCCCAATTCCCCGCAATGGCTGGAGCTGCGCCAATCCAAAGCCAGGAGCCAGGAGCCTCTTCTGGGTCTTCCCTGTGGGTGCAGGGGCCCAAGGACTTAAGCCATCTTCTACTGCTTTCCCAGGCCATAGCACAGAGCTGGTTTGGAAGTGGAGCAGCTGGTACTCTAATTGGCGCCCATATCGGATGCCAGCACTGCAGGTGATGGCTTTACCCACTGCGCCACAGTGTTGGCCTCTGGCCTATTTTTAAACTAGTGTAACAACCCTTTTTGAAGTAAGTAGTCACAATTAAGTTGTTTAGCCCTTGCACTTCAAGAGATCTAGTCTTTCAGTTGTCTCTTAGGTCAGTTCTGTTTATTAGTTAGATATTAATAAAAACCATATGAGCCTGAAAGAATTCTCAACCAAATCTAATCTTGTCTCTCAACTTGATTGAATTAATTTCAGATTCTCAAGTAACTCAGTCCACAGTAGAGCTAGAGGATGAAAAATTTGCCTTTTGTCAAATCCCCAAACTGTAAGCACTACAAGGAGCAAGAACCATGTTTCCTCCATGTCACACACATTTCCCTAGGAGCTTGGCAGCACTCTGTACCCTGTGGAGTACTCAGTACCTGTTTGATGTTGCTAATGAGACCTAAAATAATCATCCCTTAAAAATCCTACTTTTGGGGCCGGTGCTGTGGCATAAGAGGTAAAGCCAAAGCCTGCAGCACCGACATCCCACAGGGGCGCCGGTTCGAGTCCCAGCTGCTCCACTTCTGATCCAGCTCTCTGCTATGGCCTGGGAAACAGTGGAAGATGGCCCAAGTCCTTGAGCCTCTGCACCCACATGGGAGACCTGGAAGATGCTCCTGGCTCCTGGCTTCGGATTGGCACAGCTCCAGCTGTTGCGGCGAATTGGGGAGTGAACCAGTGGATGGAAGACCTCTCTCTTTGTCTCTTCCTCTCTCTGTAACTCTTTTGAATAAGTAAATAAATCTTTAAAAAAATCCTACTCTTAAAATGTAGCAAAACCGAAAAAGGAAAAAAAAGAATTGTATCTATGAACCGCATTGAATCTGTTCTATTTGTTAATATCACATTAACATAATAAAGTATAAGATGATAAAGTTGCAGCTCTGAACATCTGCATGTGTTCTTATTATACCTGATTATGTATTGAACTAGAGCAGTGGTTCTCAACCTTGGCTGCATCATGGAGGGGGCTTTTAAAATTCCCAATGCCCATTCTTTAGCCTAGGCCAATTAAATCAGAAACACCTTAAGACACAAGCATCTGTACTTTTTAAGGTCCTCAGGTCATTTCAGTGCGGAGTCAAGGTTAAGAACCACTAAATTACATAATCTTTAACAGGAAGTGAAACTAAGATTATTTTTTCTGCATATACTTAACATGGATCTTTAAAAGTTATTTCCTTCAACTTTTCTTCAAAAACATTATTGGCAATAATAATACTAATACGAAAAATGTCAAGAGCATACTATCTTAACAAGTATGTCAAATAAAAATGCACACTCAACCCCCTTCAAAGAAATTTATATATACACTGTTAGTACAATACCAGAAGCCTGTGTTACACCTATCGTAACTAGTTTGCCTCACTCTCCCATACCTTTTATAAAATTTTAATCATGTAGCAGCATGGCTATTCCAGCTTCAAGCACTCTTAGGGCTCAGTTTTACATCTTTTTGTATATATGTGTGTATATGTGTTGTAAATGGTTTCAGCT